AAGGTGGTGGTGGTGAGGGCGGTGGTGGTGAGGGCGGTGGTGAGGACGGTGGTGAGGGCGGTGGTGGTGGTGAGGAGGGTGGTGGTGGTGAGTGGGGTGGTGGTGAGGGCGGTGGTGAGGACGGGGGTGGGGACGGTGGTGAGGGCGGTGGTGGTGAGGGCGGTGGTGGTGAGGGCGGTGGTGGTGAGGGCGGTGGTGAGGACGGTGGTGAGGGCGGTGGTGGTGGTGAGGAGGGTGGTGGTGGTGAGGGCGGTGGTGGTGAGGGCGGTGGTGAGGACGGGGGTGGGGGCGGTGGTGAGGGCGGTGGTGGGGAGGGCTGGTGGTGGGGAGGGTGGTGGTGGTGAGGGCGGTGGCGGTGGTGAGGGCGGTGGTGAGGACGGGGGTGGGGGCGGTGGTGAGGGCGGTGGTGGGGAGGGCTGGTGGTGGGGAGGGTGGTGGTGGTGAGGGCGGTGGCGGTGGTGAGGGCGGTGGTGAGGACGGGGGTGGGGACGGTGGTGAGGGCGGTGGTGGTGAGGGCGGTGGTGGTGAGGACGGTGGTGAGGACGGTGGTGAGGGCGGTGGTGGGGAGGGTGAGGAGGGTGGTGGGGAGGGTGGTGGGGAGGGCGGTGGGGAGGGTGATGGTAGGGAAAGGGACGGAGAAGGGTATCTGTTTTCCTATCGTGCTGATGAAAGGCCTTAGGCGGGCCTGTGCTACTGTGCCCTATGTATGCATGTATGTATGTATGTATGTATGTATGTATGTATGTATGTATGTATGTATGTATGTATGTATGTATGTATGTATGTATGTATGTATGTATGTATGTATGTATGTATGTATGTATGTACATGGGTAGGAGTTATTAAACGCACGTGTTTTCGCACACGAGCAGTGCTGCTGATGTGTTTGATCGTACAGACGCACACACGCTGCTCTGCTACTGCTGCTGCAGATCTCCGTGGGTGTCCCCCTGGAGCGCTACCAGCTGTACGGCAGTCTCAGCCGTAGCGGCTACCTGGTAATGCGCCACCCCTCCAGGTGGCTACTGGACCGCGAGGAGCAGCCGGAGCAGGCGAGTGCGTGCTTGTCTGTCTGTTTGTCTGTTTGCGTTTTCGCATATTATATCTTTTGAAAACGAACGGGTATATCTGATGGGGCCATTCATAGGGCCCTTGGCTCCTATTCGCGCCGGTCGTACAGTCCTGGAGCTAGAACATATAACACAATTCTACGGGGATGTCTGGAAGGATATCCCGCTGTAGACGATAGTGCCGTATCGGTACGGATATGCGTTGCCGTATACACGTCGCTGTCGTACACTGTCGCCGTCGTACCATGCAGGTGTGGGGTGGCGGCGCCTGGGCTGCGTGCTACAGTCGTACCCCTGCAGTGCCCGGGGCCCTTCCGCCACAGCCCATGCAGCAACAGCTGGTGGCGGCGCGGGCTGCTACTGCCGCCGCCGCTACTGCCGCCGGGGACGCGGCAACACCGATGGATGTTGAGCTGCCGGGGGGTCCAACGGCGGCGGCGGCGGAGGCGGCAACCGCAACAGATGGACTCCGTGGCGTCGGAGTGAAGCAGCGACCGCCCTCGCAACAGCCACACAGGCTGCCGCCGCCGCGGCGGCGGCGGCTGGCGGTGACGGGCGCCGACCCGGCGTCTCCGCCGCCGCCGCCGTCAGCGTCGTCGCCATCGACTGGATGTCGTGGCTGGTGGCGAGAGGCTGGACCTGACCACCCGCACCTGCAGGGACTGCCTGCGGAGTACTTCCGACAACAACCGCCGTGAGTGTGTGGGGGGGTGTTAACCCCCGTCGAGATTTTGGAGTTGTGTGCTATTGGGTTTTCCACTCCCCCTTCTCCTCCCCCTTCCCCCTTCTCGCCGCCCTCGCAGCCGCCGCAGCCGCCGCCGAACTTCCACCGCTGGGGTTCGTTTTCCATTGACTCGACTCGCCTCATCCTCATTTACATCCCATTGACATTGTCATTGCCATTGTCACCGCCATTGTCACCGCCGTCCGAGGGCCTTTCCCAACCCGCATTGTTGTGGTTGCGCATCCACGAAGTGGGTGATTCATTTCTTCCGTTGACTCCGCCACCGTCTGTGTTCCGTGCTCCGTGTTGTGGATGCTGTTATTGTGGTTGTGGTTTTGCTGTTGTTGTTGTGTTCTTATATCATTATATTTTATTTTATTGTTATCGATATTAACGAGGGGTTGTTACACTACGCTGTGTGGGCGGCTCGTCCTGGGGAAGCGCGACTAGCGCCGTCGGGGACCCGGACCGGACCTGACTGGGGGCCGAAACACAGGAGCACCGAGGGGCCGGGCGCGCGGCTGTACATCCGTCTGTTTGTCCGCGCGCGCCGCACTCACTCACTCACTCACTCACTGACCCACTCACCCCACCCACACACTCACTCACGTCAACCGGGGTCTCTCCGAGCCCCTGGCCCCTGGCTAAGCAACACAGCGGCGGCGCAGAAGACTGCAAACCGTAATGAGTTATTGTTGTTATTGTTGTCGTGCCCTCCATTCCATTCCATCCCCCGGCAGGGGAGTCGTTGCGGACCGGCTTTCGGTGTCACTTCGGACGTCCTTTCCAAACTTGCAGCCCCTGGACCCCATTCGATCGGCGGCGCCGACGGCTGCTGCTGCGGAGGCGGTGGCGGCGGCGAACACCGCGCCTCGTGATGACGCCGAGCCGGTGGCGACTGGCGGCGGCGCCAGGAGCAGCAGCAGCAGTGGTGGTGGGATCTTTTTAGGAATCCCATCAAATAATGCGCATTTGGTGTTTGACGTGTATAAGCCAGGAAGCTTTGTAAGCCGGTACAAGGGTCAGCTTCCTGCCGTACAGACACACGTTGCAATCTGTTCGGCGGCGCCGCCGACGCTGGGAGAGATGCACGCGGCGGACGCTGCAGCTGCGTCCGCTGCAGTGGCGGCTCCAGGGGAGCCTGAGCGGCCCGCCAGCGTTACGTGGGCGACGGTGCTAAATGGCGACGTGGCGTTGTTTAGCTTTGGGGAAGCCGATTTGCTTTGCCTCTTGTAGGAATTGGCGTGGATATGGTGGTTGTCATGGCGTGGTATGATGGTAGCTTGGTCAGGTTTATTCCTTGATGTATATGTGTGTTTGAAAATGGAATCAGCAGAAGTCTTGTGTAGCGTTATCATTTGCTCGTTTATCGCTTGCTTGCTTCTCAAAGACGGGATGGTTGGCGGTTAGTACGGTTCGGTTGTGTGTGCTTGCGAAACAAACCTACCAGAGGCAACTGTGCAGCTTTCATGTCCACAGTGATATTCTACAGCGGTTACTCTAAGGGTATTCATCATTGCTACAACTAGAGGGTCGGATAGCAGAGCGGAAGTAGAGGCTGATCTGCCGTGTTGGCAGCGTCAACGTTTCATTTCGTAACTCCTGTGGTTTATCAGGATCATTATAAAGAATTAAAAGGAGATCTAGCTGCTGATTGCATAAAAGGCTCCAAGATACGCAACCCTTGGGTGCATGATGGCAGACTCGGACGTTCCAGAACCAACACTTCAAAACATTCTTGATCAGCAGGAATTGAAATGGATTTTTGTTGGTGGTAAAGGTGGTGTCGGCAAGACCACGACGTCATCAAGCTTGGCGGTGGCGCTCGCCGAACGCGGCGGACGCGATAACGTGTTGATCATCTCCACAGACCCGGCGCACAACCTCAGCGATGCATTCCGACAAAAGTTTACAAAGACCCCAACGCTGGTCAACGGCTTCACGAACCTGTTCGCGATGGTACGCGCCATTTACATATAACACACAGACACAGAGTTTTTCCCCGCTCTCTCTTCCTGACACCAGGCGACTTGCGGCCCCACTTCTCTTTCCAACTCTCATCTCTCCTTCCCCCTCTCCTTCCCCACTCTTTTCCCTCTTCCCCAACACCGCTTCCCCTCCCCTCCTGTGGGGATACGGCCGTCTTTTTCCTCTGAAACCCATCTGCCTGTCCTGTAGTCACGCAGTCGTCTGCGGTTCTTGGGGTGTTGGGGCAAGCAGCTGTAGGGGGTAGTGGCACGCAGCTGTCTGCATGTGTTTGAGTCTCGTATGTAATGCCCCTTCTCCTGGACTATCCGTCTATTCCTGGTAGCTGCTTCATTCGCCAGTGGTTCGTCTTACCCCACCCCCCACCGTGCCCTCGGGACTCCCGCAGTAAGGGTATTGAGCGTCGGCAATCAGTTCTTCCACCTTGGTGCGGGGACATATAATCACCCCACCCACCCACCCACCCACCCACCCTCCCCGACACTTCCGCCCCTCTCATGCCCCAACCGCCCCCACCTCCCTTCCAACCCCCTCGGCGCTGTGTGTAGGAGGTGGACCCCACTCCGGATCTTGGGGACATGGAGCAGCTGGAGTGGGCCCAGGACTCCTTCCTCACAGAGCTGGCGGGATCCATTCCCGGCATTGATGAGGCCATGAGCTTTGCAGAGGTCATGAAGCAGGTAGGGGTGGGTGCACAGGGGTTGGAGGGGTGGAGCGGTGTAAAGGGGTGGAACGGCCCTCCCCCTTCCCCGCCAACCCCCGCCAACCCCTCCTCCCTCTCTCTCTCCAGCAGCTCGTTCAGACCTCTTGAACACGCCGGCAGCAGCTCACTTCCCACTTTCTCACACACGGTTACCCCCCTCCCCTTCTTGAGGCGTCCTCTGGCACTTGATCCCTTTTGCGCCTCCCTTTGCGCCATGGCCTTGTCCTCCCAGTCCTTTCATTTTCCCTCTTTCCCCCCCCTCACCCCTCCACACCTGGACCACCCATCTTTGGTATCTGCTTCATTCGCCAGTGGTTCGTCTTACCCTCCCGCCATACCCCCCTCCCTGCCTTCCCCACGTACACTCCTTTCAAGGTCCAAACCATGGACTACTCGACCATCGTGTTCGACACGGCGCCCACGGGTCACACCTTGCGACTGCTCAACTTCCCCAACATCCTGGAGAAGGGGCTCAGCAAATTGGTGGCGCTCAAGGGCGCCATGGGGGGCATGATGGGGCAGGTGGGGGGGTGGGGTGGGGGGCCCATGGGTCTGGGGGCTATGTGCTAACACACCTAACAGCGAACATGTCGTACCTGTAGGAGGGCGGAGAATGATGCCTGATCGCTGTTTGACCCCCCTCCCCTCCCCCCCAGCTTCACTCGCTCATGTTTCGTCTTTCCCCTTCTCCCCACCCCTTCCCCTCTCACCCCTCGCCCCACGCCCCTCACTACTGCCAAAGTACTGCCGGTTACGCCAGGCCCCATACCTCATCCCCTACAAGGATTACCTACCTCGCACCTACCACCTCAAAAACCGCCACCAACTGCCTCCCTCACCCCCGGCCCCCTCCCGCATGTGGTAGATGACTCGCATGTTGGGTGTGGGGGGAGCTGAAGGGGAGAACCTGCCGGACCAGCTGCTGGGGAAGGTGGAGGGAATGCTGGATGTCGTACGGAAGGTGAGGAAAATACGAGCATCACCACCACCACCACCGCCTCTGCCACGGGAGGTGGGCAGCAGCAGGGCGGAGAGGAGTCGGCATGGGAAGCCGGATGGGAGGGTAATGGAGGAGACCGGAGGCGGGCAGTGGGGCTGCTATTTGTAGATATGCAACCGCCGTCGTCTTATATCCTATATATATGTATATATATGTATATATATATATATACATATATATATACATATATATATATGTATATATATATATGTATATATATATATATATATATAGAGAGAGAGAGAGAGATGGTGGGACTTTCCGCAAAGGTGGTGAATGGTAGGGGTGGTGGGTGGGTGGATTGAGTGGCGGGGTGGCGGAGAGGGGGGAGGCAGGGGGGAGGGGAGGGAGGGAGCCGTGTGCGCCCCGCCGTCCGGTCGTTTCGCGTTACGCTGCGCTGCACCGAGTGGGCCCCCAACCCAGAGGCATCTTTCGTACGTATGTATGTATGTAAGTATTACGCAGTCCACTTCCACCTACCTCCTCTCTCCCTCACCTTCAACGCCCCGACGACGATGACGACGCGATGCAGTGGGACACAACGCAGTAAGTGTTTTTTGCGACTTATCCCCCCCTCCACACACCCCCACCCCCATTACCCACTCATCAGGTATCAGCCCAGTTCAAGGACCCCCTCCTAACCACCTTTGTGGCGGTGTGTATTCCAGAATTCCTGTCGCTGTACGAGACGGAGAGGCTGGTGCAGGTGGGGGGGGAGGTGGATGGGGCTGGAGGAACGGGGGGGAGCAAGGAATGGGAGGGCGGGAGGGGGGAGGGCGAGGAGATGGAAGTGGTAGTAGTGGGCTGGGTGGCGGTGGTGGTGGGTGGTGGGTTCCAGGGTTTGCGGTGCTGTCTGAAGAAACAGAGCTCTCCTCCCTTTCCCTCGGTCCCTCTGGGTTTGGGCTTTGGACTCGGGCGTTAGTGCCAGATGTGTATGTATGTCATTACAGGGTGGTTAACTTCGCCAGCGGCCCCCTTTCCCGGGGCAGTCCCTGCTCCCCCCTGCTAGAGGGGCACCCTAATCCGTCACCCCATCCGACTTCAGAATCTATTCGTTGGGTTCGGCAACTCACCACCAGCATCCAACCAAACCTAGCGGATCAACGGCGCATCAACTTAGTTCCTGGTCAGCTCGCAAGTTGATATTATCACGTCCTTCATCGTCCATATGATGGGGGGCCACCTCCCAATTCAACACTCCTCAAACACCCGAGGAGCCGGCAGGCGGATTTGAACCCGGGTCGGCGGGGAGCAGAAGTCAGGCCTTAACCTCTGCCAGCCGCCTGCCTATGTGTATGTATGTATGTATGCATGCATTATGTATGTATGTATTTATGTACAGTGATGTAGTACACGATGCAGCGACTGCTCTCCTGTTTCCCCCGGTGTCCCGCTGTGTCGTACTCCTGTGTCGCCGCCTGTTGCTGCTGCTGCTGCTGTTGCTGCTGGTGTTGTGGGCTCTTTAGGAGCTGGCCAAGTTTGAAATCGATTGTCGCAACATCGTCATCAACCAGGTCATCTTTCCGGAGTCCGGTAAGCCCGGGGGAGGAAGGGGGCTGGAGCGGGGGGGAGGGGGGGGGGAGGGGGGGGAGGGGAGGAGGAGGGGGGGGAAGGGGGGGAGGAGGGGGGGAGGAGGGGGGGAAGGGAGGGAGGAGGGGGGGAAAGGGGGGGAAGGCGAACCACAGGGGGGCAGGGGGAAGTGTAAAAGAGGTGGGGACAGACAGAGGGGGACGGCAGGGAAGATGAGGGTAAGGGGAGGGATAAGTGGGTATTACAGCACGTACGTTTCTGGGTAGCGCTCGCGCAACGAAGAGGTGAGAGGTGAGGGTTGAGAGGAGGGCGGTTAAGCGGTTACTGGACGCTGCAAACCGCGGTTAGCGGGCTCGGTCGCCCGCCGGGCCCTCCACCCCGCCTCCCTGCTGTAGAGACATATCGGCAGATGCATTCTATAATTCTCCATCCCCACCCCCGCTGACCGCCACCACCACCGCCCTCACTTCCCCTTCATCCTCCACCCCCTTAGTCGGTACCAGTCGGCTGCTGGAGGCCCGAGTGCGCATGCAGCAGAAATACCTGGACCAGTTCTACGAGCTGTACGAGGACTTCCACATCATGAAGCTTCCGCTGCTGGAGGAGGAGGTCCGGGGCCCGGATGCGCTGCGAGCCTTTTCGGAGAACCTGTTAAAGGTATTGGGGGGGTGGCAGGGTGTGTATGGGGGGAGGGGGAGGGGGGTCCCGAGGACTGCGACGGGCAGGGGCCGCTCCTTGGTGGTATATGAAAAATGAAACAGGAGCGCTGGTACACGGCGACACGGCGCGGCTGTACAGCGCACTGTTTCTTGACGCTCTCGGCTGCGGCTGCCTCCTCCTCTGATCCCCCATAAGCCTGCCGATCTGGTCCCTCTGCCGCCTCTCCATGTTGCCGCCGCCGCCGCCAGACGCCCACTGCCACGGGGTTCCGTAACCGCCAACCCCTCCCTTCACTTTCCCCAGTTTGTCCCTGTCGGACGAAGTGTGTGGGTGTTTTTTTTGCTCCTCCAAACCCCGCCGTCCCCTCCTACCCCCTCGCGCCCACTGCACCCGCTCCCCTCCGGCCCTCAACAGCCGTACTTGCCGCCGCCGCCAGGCCCCAGCAGCAGCCGGGAGGCGGCTTTGGAGGCGGAGGTGGCGGCCCTCAAGAAGCGGGTTTCGGAGCTCGAAGCTCAATTGTCTGCCGCTGGAAAGAAGTGAAGTTGGTGATGAGCGGAAGGCGGGTCCGCAACCTTAAGAGGATTTCCGGCGAGGGTTGGGGTTGAAGATGTGTTTTACTGGGATATGGACATGAGGGCGGCGTGAGGTGGGTCAGGAGGGGGGAGCAAGGAGAATGGGGACATCCGGAAGTCGTCCCGGGGTGGGTTGGGTTGGGGCGGAAAAGGCCGTTTGGGTGGGGGAATGTGGGTGGAACGAGGTGGGAGGAGGTGCGACGTCGGGGTGATGAGAGCTCTGAATATGATATCGGCAGGAGGGCGGAGGAAGGGGCTCTACCAACTGTGCGTCCCCTCCCTCGAGCCGGCCGAAAGGGCATGTAGCCTCCGTAACTGTGCTATTGCTATTGGCAGCATGAAGGTGCGTGAGATTGAGGTTTTCGATGGGATAATGTACGGCGGTTTGTCGTGCTGCCGTATGCAAGTTGCAGAATGATGGTGATGGTATGAGACGTGCCGGGCGGGTTTGTGTGCGGGAGCTGCAGAGGGCTCTAGAGGGTAGTTAGTAGCAACGGAGCTGTGAGCGCAAAGGTGGTGCGATGTATGTCGTCCCCGCAGTCAACCTGCTGCGTGGCTACCGGGGTCCTGCCGCTACTGCTAGCACCTGGAGGTCTGAGGAGACGTGTGTGGCGTCCAATGGACTTATTCATTTTCATGCGCTACGCACTTCTATACATCATTGCTGCTCAGCATACCGAATGCTTCAACTGGCATGGGTGCGCGGGACTGCACCGGTTCGTGGTTTGATTTGATTTGTTTTCCGCCACACACACACATATATGTGCCGGGTGCGCACGTACCTACAAAGGTACTGATAGGAGTTCGGTTCGGTGCATGTTTTAAGCGTAGGAGCGGTAAGGAGGTGCCCGGAAACGACCACATGCTCCTTATCCGCTGAAGGCGCTCCCAGGGGCACCATTATTCAGCCATAAAACTGTACCCGTCAAAACCCACGGGGAACGTGAAGTACGTCCCCCCGCCCGCTTAGCATGCGGCAATGGACGATATGATGCTCCACATGCTGGCCGAATCTCCTCCTCGTTGCTTTCCACGTGAAAGCGATACTGCCTCCGGGACAGCTTCGACGTCAAACAAGAGAGTGGAGCCGCAAGAGAAGGAAGTTGTCACCACCTCACCAGGAAGCTGTTCTCTAACAGCTAGAGATTGCGGAGGGAGTGCGGAGTGCGGGAGGAACGTAACCCTTCTGCCGCCGCTGTAGCGAAATGAGCTCTTGTGTGCAGGCCGAGGTATGCATACACCTTTTACCCTCCTTTCCCTGGTAACCTGTGATACACACAAACAGAATGTACATACAGATAGAAACACAATCGCGAGGCGTGGTTCGGAAGGTTTCTTCCGAACACAGATCAGCAGCATGAGAAATGCACATTTGCCGTAAACTTTGGCAAGTGCTGTGGCCTTATGACGTGAACAAACGTGTGCGCGGATAGTCCATTAAAAACATATGAATAATGACGACGGCCCTACTCTTCACTTGTAGCATGCTATGCGCGTTCGCTATGCGTGCCGACGTAGTGAATAGAGACACAGAGAGAGATGCTCCCTTACAAAACAATCCTAAACACGGGTGTGAGTGTATGACGTGACAGATGGAACTATATCGCCTCGGTGGCCCCCCTGGTTTCCACCAGCTCCACCGTTGCCCGTTCCGTTTCTAAAATGAGGGATGGGCAAGTCCACATGTTTCACTCACCCAAACAGCCCCGCCAAACCTACGAACGAACGTCAAAACGCTCGAATCATCCCGTATCCACAAACACGAATTCAACCGAAAACAAGCCTGTCCAAAAAACACCAACACATCTGACTGAATAGTCATAAACTTCATTGCTCGCTAGTACGTGTCATTTCACACACAACATGGTGGGGGGCCAGACAGCGCCTCTAACTAACCACCGCAACCGTATCCCACATCGCCCGCAGCTCTCACCATAAACAACACAACGATTTTGAGAACAGCGGGGAAATAAACAGCCGCATGGGGTAATGCCATGGGGCCAACCTAAAGCCTCAACTCTCCAGACGACCGAAACCCCTACCCAAGATCTCCCACCGCCATCACAACTACCATCATCATCACCATCGCGCCGTAAGGCCCCCATATCGTCTCAATGCAAAGCCAAAACCGCCACAGCTACTGCCGTACTGCCCCCCCCTCCATGGATGCATGGGCTGGAGCTTCCATTGCACGGAGTTTTCGCTCCGCAGCTGAATGCAGACAGTGTTGGAAAACGAAAAAACTAGACAATTATCAATTTTCTACACAAGCACATGCTGGATGATGGGTCTCATTCTCTGAGATTGTACATCCTGCGAATTGATCTGAATTGCTAAGCGCTCACAGGACTGACAACTGTCGGCAGGTCGGGGGACGGGGGCGGCTGCGAAGGAGTTGCGTGTGCTGTGTGTGAGCTGGTCCTGCAGGCTGTGAGACCTGTTCCTGGTCAAGTAAGTGAACTCGAGCACAAATAAACACGCGAGCGCGTCCTTCACTGCTAGCAGGACCGCACTGATTATTTGGCACCCACAGTCCACATCTCAAACGTTTTAACACATTCTCACTCCGACTCCTTTTATGCGCGAGATGTGAAGACCCTCCCAAACCGACGATGAAGGAAGATTGAGATGAAATCGCTAAATTTCACTTAGAAGTCGTACAGGTGCTACGATAAACGGCAGGGGGACTGAATGACTCGGCCGGCAGGTGGGGTCGGGGCGCCGGGGGGATGCCGTGGCGTCCAAACACCCGTGCAACACATTGTGAGGCACCGTAGGCATCATGTCAGCTGGCCGCTGGGTGTGCCAGCGGCGAGAATTGGAGCGTGCGTCCTCCACTTGCCTGTGACCTGGCCTCTACCAGTCTTTGCAGCCCCGCTAGTTAGGTTGCGCGGAACCACTACCACAAGCAAAACAGCATATAGTGACACGAGCTCTGATCTTTGGTATTTCTTTCTGCGCATAAAGACCAACCCGCCATGGCTCCAGGACACGATGCAGCTGTCCGGCGTGCAACCGTGCGCAAGGGAACGGCCAAATCCGGGCAACCGGTGCATTCAACCGACAATTGAGCGAGTCATCAAGATCTAACGCTGGGTATCCTGCGGGCAAGAAAAATAATAAACAATAATAATAACGATTAGATGCTGTAATAATCTTTATTGCTCTGCTGAACTTGTACTAGGGTGATTTCTCACCTGAACGGACCGTGACGGTAACAAAGATGCGACTTCTGTCCGAAGAAGTTGATTCTCTGCCGATACTGCATACAAACATTTCACTGCCCGCGCTAGCTGTGTTAAGAGCAGGGCATTGTCCCGTCTGAGCGCTCCAACTTTGGTTTGCAGTTCAAATATTTGATCCATAACAGAAGGGGTGAACTGCAGAGATTGCGTTGACGGAGTTGAGGGGATGCATAAAGGGAACATGCAAGTCAGCCATTAAACGAGCACTTGAGCCCGCCAATTCACTGTCAACCAACCGCTTCAATTACCTGGTGCACCAAGCCATCGTCCACATTCATGCTGCAAAGAAGGCATAAACAGGTAATGATCAGTACCCAAGTTCTCTGCGAGCGGTTGAAATGAAGAACGACTCACCCGCCCCGTGGCTTCAGGTCAGCAGTATGGTTTTGAATAGACATTGCTTTTAGTGCGAATGTGTAGGACGTTGGTGCATTCAAGAATCGCGGCAGTCGCGATGCCCAACGTCAAGTTAGGAGTGTACGCCAAGGAAAAGAATGTAGTCAAGCATGATAAACAATAACCTGTAAAGTAGGTGCAATATGGGAAACATATAGCATTTTTGCTACATGTGGGTCGTGGTATAGGTCTACGGGAGTTGGGAATCCGGCATCCCGTGCATACTGTGGGGTTGTTCCTCAGCACGTGTTAAGACGTTAAGAACACACAGCGCAAACAGCAAGCTGTTAAATATAATGGCATCTATCTAAACTGACTCTTGTAGCAGAGCTTTGCGTACTGAACACATCCCCTCATGGTATCGGGCCTGTCGCTTTCAAACGAAAGTACGCGAGAACTTGCTGCGCTCCAGCCACCTATCGATGCTCGAACTTATCCGCGACAACAGAAAGGCAAAGCTATTTGCCTGCCTTCTTCGGGAAGGCGGCTTGGCTACGATGACATGATGGACAGATCTGCTCCCCCCGAGCAGCTCCGCAACGTAATACTACTTCCAGGCAGCCCAGGCTCGCGGCTCTTCTCTCACCCTTCTGTACAGCACCGTGGATTCGTTCCCCGTTGGCGCCTGATTATACTGGAAAGGCCCGGCATAGGGCTCAGCGACCCAGCCCCTGCGTCGTACACATACACAGATTTTGTCTCGGACTTCAGGTACGATGCTTCACGTCAGCTTTTGCCATCTCGATCCCCTGATCCCCTGTTATTACCAAAGATGCATTCAGCGTAGAATTTCATGCACAACATACATTCACATGCACGAGGCGAGGCTTTCCTCCACTTCGCATTCTTTTTCACCTCGCTCTTTTTTTCCTCGCATATCATCTTAGAGAGAGAGCCGTACCATCTCCCTGTCCCCCACGCATCGCTGAAGTCTCCTCCCTTCCGTTTCCTCCTCCCTCATTTTGTTCTGCTGTCCCTTTTCCCTTCAGCATTTTATTCTGCTGTCCTTTTTCCCTTCATCACCACCTGCGTCACTCATTACCTCCATATTAACCCACTTCATTTCCACTTCACTTCATTTCACTTCATTTCAGGGAGTTTTGCACCCAACTGGGTCTCAGCCGCGTCGCCGTAATCGGATTTAGCGCCGGAACCCCTTTCGCCACCGCCATCGCCTGCTGCTGGCGTCAGCTGCAACCGCAGTGCCCATCACAACCGCAACCGCAATGTCAACCGCCAACATCCTCCTCCGCGCCGGGCTGCATCCGGGAGGCCGCGCCCGGCTCCAGGGCCGGCGCAGCAGCCACCGCCGCGGAGGTGGTGGCGGCGACAGCCACGTTGGCGGCCGGCGCGGCCGCTGAGCTCGGCACACATCCGCCGCCGGTACCGCCAGGGCACCACCACCTACTCCGCAAGTCGACAACGGAACAGCAGCAGCAGGAGCAGTGTCAACAGCAGCAGCAGCAGTGCCAACAGCAGCAGCAGCAGCAGTGCCAACAGCAGCGGCAGCAGCAACAACAACAACAACAACACGAGTCGTCAGAGCGTGGACTGGGGCAAGTGGAGGTCGCGCGTGTGGCGCTTGTCTCTGCCATAGGGCCCCCGGACACACCTAACAAGCGGCAGGGCATGGCGCTCGTGTTCCAGGCGGGTCAGCGAAGCAGAGCGGGCCTTTGCTGTTGGAAGGTGTTTCCCCCCCTAGGGAAATAACCCGTGTACTGTGGCTATGGCTATAGCGCCTGTGCTGATCGTTGATCACCCGCACGTATGTGAGCCAACGGAAACAGTGCTGAGCGTGTGAGGTCCACACGGATAGCGTGGATGTACGAACGATGAAGGGGTTTTCCGTACAGTTATTATGTACCGCTAACCCTTAGGGTTGCGAGCTGCACCCCATGCCACCCCATCCTACCCTATCCCAACCAGAACACACACACACCATTCTCATCCCCGGCTCCGCAGATCGGCTACTGGTGTTGCGCCCACGCCCCCTGGCTGGTGGGCTGTCTGGTGCGGAGCAGGGCAGCGGCCTTCAGGAGGAGGCCCGTAACGGTGCTGAGACGGGGCTTAGCGTCGTACAGTGCCAAGGCCGATGTAGAGGCCTTGAAGCGTCCTGAGGTACGGCATGGTACGGCATGTCCGTGTTCTGGAAGGGAAATTGTTTCCAAAACAAACTGCCCAGTGCATACTGGCTTTCATCTTAAGGGCTGTTTCGATGACACAAGCGAATTTGTTGGAACACTAACAAACGGGTGCACAGGCAAACGGAGAAGTAGCTAACTGGAAAACTAACTAATTATTGATTAACTGAAAGGAAAACGAATGGACTCACAATTCTCGGTCTACAGGTAGAGAGGCTCTTTCTGGAGAGCGCACTGGAGATGTACGGCAGATTCCAGGAGGATGCCGTACTGCGTGAGAACCTGCTCATCGCGGGCCAGCCCTGGGGCTTCGACCTGGCAGCCTGCCGTACACCCGTCGCAATCTGGCAGGGCGGTCAGGATCGCGGTTGCACGGCAGCCATGGCGACCCATTTGGCGGTGCGTCTGGGCCCGATGGCACGGGTAAAAGTGATTCCGGAGCAGGGTCACATGCTGTATTTTGATTTATGGCAGGAGGTCGTTGACTGGGTGAACGATATTCTGCCATAGATCAAAGTACAGCATGCAACAGTGCTCCGGAACCATTTTTACCAAATGGGTCGCCATGGCTGCCGTACATAACGGAGAGAGGGAAGAGCAGGTTTCTTGGTTGGAAATTGGGCAGTGGGGGCAATGGAGCGTGCGGTGTATGTGTGTGTGTATGTGTGTTAGTTGGGAATTGGAAGGCCCGGGGAAATGGCAAAAACAACCAGGCTCGCGCAAAATTTGGAAGCGCTCGGCCTAGAAGCTGTGTAATGCTTTAAGCTTACGAAGGGATAAGCAGGATGCCAGCTGCAGTGTGTGCCATGTTGTGGCTGCGTGTTTTGAGAAACTGAGCATCGGAAAGAATCAGACGACGACCTCGAATAGGGCAGCTGATTACCTGGCGACTCGCTGTGGTGGTGGTGGTGGTTGTGATTGCGACGTCATGCTATGTTGAATCCCGAGGAGACCCTTTATACGCGTTTTGATGCGGCGCTGGCGCCTTCAGGTTATTTTTCAAACGCTTTTTTTCGCCACAATAAACACGTACGTAGGTGCATCGCCGCTGCAGCCGTCAACGCAATCCATCGGAGTGCTTAAGCGCGGAGGGAGAGGTGACGTGCAGAGCTTTACAAGCCTCGATGTTGCGTGGTCTTATTTTTCTGAGGGCAACTTTGGGTCGAGCCGGATTGAAAAGGGTTGACGCGGATGATTTTTTCTTTTTTCTTTGTTTCCAAACTCCGGGTGCAAGGGGCCGTTCCTTTGGAATGAAAGGCGCAGGGTCGTCTAAATCGTTCTGTTTCAAAAATTCTGATGCAAATATAAGCATTGGAACAACATAGCTCGAATCGGAGCCCGAATCTATCCGCCCTGTGAGACCCTGCTAGGATGGATATAGGATTCTATTATCGCTCCCATCACAGACTTCGGAACACTCTTCAGAGATTATTATTTTCCTTTGTGTTTGGCGGGTCGCCCTTCAAATCTTAGCGAGGGTCAGCCTTCAAGGCCGCAACGACGCTGTCATCACCTGACAAGCGACAACCATGCCGTACTAATGTGCTTCCTAGGTGTGATTTGGAGTGAGGTTTCCCGCAAGCCGGATCTGCAGCTCGCACCCGGCTCCTTTAAAGTAACTCTATAGCTATTGTGTTTCCGCTGTGTACTGTAAAGGGTGGTGCTCATGACACCACAAACGATTTGAATTATTTCGCTTCAGAGTTCCTGCGCTTAACAGTGCTTCCATTTTACCTGCCTTTTTGGGGGCTACCTGTTCCGTATTTAAACTCAAGAAATTTCCACCTCATACTTCCAGTTAGGAACGGATCCCTAGGGCATCATCGACCGGCATCGATAGAACACCGAGTCCAAGCCTAGAGTCGAAGATATTTTTATTAACCATTTTTTCTCGCATCTTAGCGAAGGAACATGGATCCCTCAACGCTTAGCACCGCGCCACAGCCGCGCTCTTTTCCCTCGGATACAGAATTGTCATCGTCATCTTCGTCGCCATCCTTATCGCAGTCGTTATCAACTTCATCGCCATCCTCGCCATGTTCATCATCCCCATCGTTGTTAGCAACGTCACCTCTGGTCCAGCCCACGCCTTTAAGTCCTTCATCGTCACCTCCCGCTGAATCTGAACTGTCTGCACCGTTCGTGGCGGCGGGGTTAGCCGCGACCGCCGCCATCCGGCCCCTCCAAGACCCAGGAAAGTCCGAGAGATTTGGAAAACCGGAGCCATGCCCATCGCAAAGCCCAGTCATTATGGTAATGGAAAGGGCTGCTTCAGCACCGGCTCCTGCGATGGCAGCGGCGGCGGCGGCGGCGGCAGAAGACGAGCCGTCGGCACCGCCGCCACCGCCGCCGCTGCTCCCATTTCCATCAATGCGCCCGTTTGGCGACGGCTTTACGGCCACGACTGTACTTCAAACAGCCCCTGCGGATCCACGAGAGTCGCGGGCGGCGCTTCCTGTATATTATGATCGACGCGCCTGGCAGCTGCTGCTGAGGTTGGTAGCGGCAGTGATCGCTTTTGCGGCAGTGGGCATGTGGGCGGCGCTGCAGATTGTGGTGATGGTGGGTGCAATGCGCCTGCTTGTGGTATTGGCGGCGTCAGAGGCAGCTTTCCTCATGTATTATCGCCGCAAGTAAGTACGGCATTCATATGCGGTATCGTGTACGGAGATGTGCGGCATGCTGTACATGGAAAACCCTCGGGATGACACACAAGGAAGCCTGGAAACGATACAAACGGTGGAATTCCTAAAAAATCTTGCGTTTGAATCGGGGCCTGATAAGGCACGGATCATTTTCCGGGATTAAATGCTGACGTGTCGCCTATGGTGTCTTAGGGTTTTTGAATGTCCCATATCTGGGGATGTGGTATAGCGGGTGGTTGTCTTGAGCAGCGGTTGGGTAGGGAAGAAAGGTTTCCTTCCTTTTCCAAACCTGAACAAACCTGAAATATGACTGGGAGCCGAGATTGGTAGTTATCGCGATTTCGCAGCTGTAACTGCTGCAATGCTCCGTGCTCTTGCAGCTGCAGCTCATGAGCCTCTTGGCTACTCTGGGCCGTGAAAACTCAGCAACCTCAGAATTCATGTCTTAAAATTTTATCCTTGGGGTCTTAAAACTTAAATGCGACAGTTACGACAATGCATGCACAGCCAACGCCCAATCAGTGGGCAGCGGACAAGTTTCATGCATGCAGCACATGCGCGAAAGTTGCGATATGTGCCTGTTACGATTCATTCTCCTATACGCTGTAGAATGCGAAACTTTCAAATGTCTTTGGCCCTTTGAAAGGATTACGAAGTCAAAGTGCAGCGTGGGCTAACGATTTCACAGCTAGTTCGCGTGATTAGATCTTCTTTCCTGCTGTGAAGCAATAGATGTAAGATACCGTATTTTAGCTGACAACATCGTTGAGGTAAGCGTTAGTGGGCGGGTTGCCGCTTTTCCACCGCGATATGTCGGCGACGCGGCGTAATGAATGGATGAATGGTGATCGGGAACTTCATGACCTGCAGTTTGGACATAAAATACTTATCATGGAAAAGTATGCGCCAACCGGGATTTGCACCCGGGCCGCTCGCGTATCTCCATATTGGGAGGCGAGTATCCTGCTACTAGACTATTGGCGCAGGGATGTAGTTTTCCAAGAGTTTGCGATATAATACTTCAAACATCACAAACGCACCACGAACGCCAACGCACGCCCAAACGAACCGTCTTCCCAGTTGTGCCCCTAGCCCTCGGAAAGGAGAGCAAGAACAAAGACAGAAGCACTGACGTGTTTCTGTCTTTGTTTTACTTGCTCTCACTTTCTTCGAAAACATCACAAATCATACACACACATACACACACATCCGCTAGATTTGGTTGGATGCTGGTGGTGAGTTGCTGAACCCAACGAATACATTCTGAAGTCGGATGGGGTGAACGGATTAGGATGCCCCTCTAGCAGGGGAGAGCAGGGAACTGCCTCGGGAAAGGGGGCCGCTGGTGGAGCTTAACCACCCTGTACCGTACTGCTACGAATTCTTCGCGCCACACCGTTCGTGGGTACCCCAAAAATGTAGCTGGAATTTTTCGTTTTGTTACACCAATTCGCGAGGGCTGTCAGTTTTTATGGCACACATTTGTTTACGTGAACACACATTTCGCGGGGCTCCAGGGAAGCCACAACAAGGAGCGACAGCGTCAAAGCTCCCAAACTGCTGGACAGTTCTGGCTTATCTACACCATGTACACGGCGTACGACACATTCGTGCCAGACAGTCTCGCGACAAGCAAATAATTTTCCCCATAGAGCTTTTTCCACTGTGACACACTTCGTGGCCCAAAACGAAAGGTGTGGCGCGAAGAATTCGTAGCAGTACGGTAACGACATCCACACACATACACAAGGACCTATGCCTCTAAATGCAAAACGTTAAAAGTGTCGTTAAGAGGGTGTTTGTTAAGCCTTTCGACTGGTGCCCAAGTCTCTTTGGCTGGTTCCTCCTTCTTCGGAGTGTGTTCGGAAGTTATCCCTTCGCATCCTGTTTCGCCGACAGCGTTGCTTGCCACCACTTTCCCACAGCCCTGACGTGTCCCGCACAACACAACACAGCACAGCACAGCACAGAGATCATTACAGCACAGAAAACCTCACTTGGCTCGAATGAATTCCCGGATGGATTGCTCATTTCCTTGTTGCCTTTGTTGGCAACGGGCGTTACCGACATTTAGCTACCACATATCTCGCCACGTCGCCCCTAAAGCGCAGGCGAATAAATGGCGGCTAGATATCGTAGTAGATCCGATTAGATCGCCGGCAGTGCTGTCCGCACCCAAGCAATTCTACATCTTCGGAGCTCGGCCAACCACCATCAACCACCAACTTCCACACATGCAGGTATAAGCTGCTTAACGCCCAACCGCTGAGCCATGCGCCCGAACGACATGACGGGCTGGCCGCCTTCAATCGGCTGCTGCAGGTGAGGCTGAGATGAAACTTTTGCTTCACGGACAATTTCTTGCAAAACGGTCCGAACCGCTTGCCGGCAACACCTCCCAACAATTATGTTTACAAACATGTCACACGTCTACAAATATGTAAACACAAGTTACACATGTTGCATGTTTACATGTTCTGTGGATTATTAATTATCAATTAATAATTATATATAAATATTACATTATATATTTCATAATTTAATCTTGTTGTATTATATTATATTATATTATATTATATTATATTATATTATATTATATTATATTATATTATATTATATTATATTATATTACATTATATTATATCATACATATTATATATTAGTGGAGGGGAACCCCAGTGGGATAATGATAATGACAATTGAAAACTATAACGAAACGGAAGCGGCAGCACATGTCTGAAGAGGGGGAAGGTAGCTGTCGTACAGTACGGCACTCCCAGCATCTCGGCTTTTTCGGTGGCTGCACAGCTGCTTTTCTGTTCTACAGAAGAAGCCAAAAGTTTAACGCAGGAAAGCTAAAAAGCGAGGCGAGCTCCGATCTCAGGTCGAGAGGACCAGGTAACAGAGCACAACCCAGGCAACAGAAAACTACCTCTTCAGATGGACCCAGAAACAGTATTCTTAGGTTTCCCAATGCAGTGCAGTGTACGGCAGTGTAGTGTACAGCAGTGCAGTGCACGGCAGTGCATTGCAGTCCTTTGTGGCCCCCGATGGCCCCCTATCCCCCTGCTGCCGGGGTGTTCTGCTTGGGTTGCATCTGGGGCTCCCGCCTGGTGATGCCTGCCACCGGGCCCGGTCACCCACCGACCCAACTTCCCACCTGCGGCCGGATTTACTGCGGCCCTGAGAGTACACACAAAAAACCTATCTTAACCGTGTTGACGGTCGAGCTACCTCTACTGCTACTACTCCTACTCGTACTACAGTGTTGTGCATGTGTGTGTAAGTTCTCTTAATGAACGGAGCCCCTCCTCTTTGAGAGGAGGGCGCGGTGGAGATGTGCGTGTGTGTGCACGTGTGTTTTGTTTGGTCGCTTACCCAAATGGATGATGGTGCTGCACATCTCAATTCAGTTATACATACATACATACATACATCCGTGACGCAGGTGTGTCGTTTCTTTCAGCACAAGATCGATGCGCGAGCCTACTTGTCGACTTGGTTCTGTGGGGCCGATTATCGTCTCATCCGCCGGGACAATGTGGCCGACCTCATCGCGTACGGCTTCTGGTACATGAGCAGGTACGACGTGCTGTGTACGGCACATGCCCTGTACGGCACGGCAGCCCGTTATTGAATGCTATGGCACACCTGAAGCTAGTACCATGCCACATGCATACATACATACATACATACGTACATACATACATGCATATGCACGCACACGACGCGGCGCAGGGCCGAGATGGAGGCAGCTGGTCTGGGCCCCGTGTTGCAGCAGTGTGTCAGCCGTCTGGAGTCCGCCTTCCGCATGGTGTTGCCCCCGGGCTACCAGCCGGGGCTCAGGTGCATGTTCCACCTGTGGGAGCCACTCAGGACTATTTACAGGTCAGTCGGGTGCTGCCGGGTGTCGGGGTTCGGGGGGGGGGAATCCTGGAGGGTGTCGGGGTTCGGGGGGGGGGATCCTGGAGGGTGTCGGGGTTCGGGGGGGGGGGGAAATCCTGGAGGGTGTCGGGGTTCGGGGGCGGGAATCCTGGAGGGTGGCGGGTTTTAGGGATGGATTACTTACATGCTGGAGTTTTGGGGGGTTTGGGGGGGAAGAGGAAGGTCGGGAATGCAGTCAGGTGGCATCAGCTGAAGATGAGCAACCAAGCGGCTGTCCATTCCCTGGACAGGAAGACATCATATGCGCTCCAAGGAAATCAGGAATGAACTGCCGCCTTCCGGAAGGCGCCCAAAGTCCGGAACTGCCCCTAGTGAGGGAATCCTGAGCGATGATGAAGCCATATCGACCCGGGGTTTCGGAAGTAAAGCCCCATTATTGCGTTACGGACCACATGTTGGGTGTCGTCGTCACCGTCGTCATCGTCATCGGGTCTCGTAATAATATTGCCATTGAGGCCCCCTTAATATCCAGCGTAATGCAGACGAGCTGTATCTACGGAAGGAAAAAGCTGTATGTACTCCAAACATAGAAACTAACTAAATTACAGCTGTGTAACATGTACAGCTGTCCTACATAGCCTAAGAGCAAAAATAATAAAAGGATGTACTATTAGTAGCCTAGCCCTTTGCCACAAACTCAAACAGCGAATGCGAGATGTGCCCGGAAGCCCAACACTAAGGAAACAACGTGAAGCAGGGGTACACTAAGCTGCAGACTAAACGATATATATATATATCGCAACGACAGACCGGTCGCTACGATGACCTTCGAGCAGCAATGTGATTAGTTGGCATGTGGGAAAGAAGCGGAATACGGGTTTTAGCATGACGGGGGGTAGAAGGAAAGAGGAGGAGGGAGGAGGGCGGTTACAAGTTACAAGTTTCGCACGCAAGTGGGGGGTGTGTCCGTAAAAGCGGGGGGGCCCATGGACGAAAATGGTGGAAAGACGGAGCGGACTGGTTAGTGCCGGTCGTAACCATACCCCGCGTAAGCAGCATGCAGCATGAAACAGCGATCGAGCGGGCGAGACGAACAGCAACATGACTGGGGCGACTGGGGGAGTCAATTGTGTGTGTGTGTGTGTTACATGGTTGGGGGGTGCGTGACCCCATACCTGTAAGACTACCCATACGAGCCGAAGGCCCAAGGGCAATACTACAACGCCTAAAAGCCACGGAGAAAAGGAAAAACACCGCACATCAGCCCAGACTAGCGTCCAAAGGGGGTAACTGAGTTTCGGTGAGCCCACATACGTTCCAACATCCTCGCCAGACGTGCTGGTTCCCATTTCATGGCCTCCAACATGCTCTGTTGATGATCGGATCCCTCTTCAGCACGAATATCATTATAGGCAGGGCATTCCAGTAACACGTGTTTTTCATCCTCGACTTGGCGACACAACAGCGGCAAAACCGCTGCCCCCTGGGGACATGGTACTTGCCCCTTCGTGCTCTGTTTGCCTCCAAAGCCCAGCAACATAAACGAAACTGCATTAGCTTACGATGTGCTAAACGAGGAATGAAAACCTTAGCATGTGTTGGCCACATGACGGCTGCGGCTCCCGAAAAGGGCAGCCCCATCCAGTGCTTATACTTCGCCATTTGCACTCCCGGTTGCTTCCCATCTGATGGGTACTCCTCTGGCAAGACAGTCAGATGCGCATGGTCCCAGCCGCTCATCAAACGCTCTCTTAGTGCCGTTATCATCGCTCCTTCGGGTAGAGGTCTACTCAACAACCAGTCAACACGCTCCTTTACCCCCACGACTTCTTGCGGTATTCCGCTCCAAATGTTGCACTCCAAAAAGGAAAACAGTCGTAACATTGAGAATCCCCAACCCTCCCATTCCGGGTCGGTCAGGGCATCGGTTATCTCCTGCCGTAAAACGGCATGAGCAATGGATCCCACTTGCTTTTGAAGGCGGTTCCAGAAACGGAGTCAATTGGCCGCTTCCTTCGTCAAATTTTCAAAAATGGGCAGTGCAGTGTTCCGTCCGTTTAAATTTTTCTTCTCCACACGCCTGCAAACCTGCCTCCGCCCCCACTCAGGCCCCTCCTGTTCTACGGCTTTACGGAATGCATGGCGTTGCTCACCAAGACGCTGCTCCTAGCCCTGGGTTGCGACATTCACATCGATCCCGTCACGGGCCTGATGGTGGCTACTGCCGGACTGGACGAGCATCTCTGGAGCCACCAGGGGGGGGCTCGCCGCCGCCGGTGCAGCGGCGGCAGTAGCAGCGGCGGCAGTAGCTTTAGCGGCTCGGCGGTGGCGGCGGAGGCGGCGAGTGTTAGCGACAATTTTAAGAACGCAGGGAAGAGCGGATCCACGCGCTGTACGATGTTGGACGATCGATCTGCCGTACTAGCTGGTTGGGATACGAAATCGTACGCCAAGAAAAGTGGCTTTGCGGTGGCGGCGGCGACGGGCCAGGGCGCTAACGCCGCCGCCGCCGCCGCCGCCGCCGCCACCGCACCTGCTGTCACTCCGGTACTGCTGCTGCACGGCGTCGGACTGGGGCTATTGCCGTACATTAACCTGGTCAGGTGTCTCCTGGCGGCGGGCTTACCGTTAGTAGCGGTTGAGTACAAGCACGTGTCCATGAGATGGTGTTCCATCATTCCCTCGGCCGATGATATTGCAGCGGGCGTGGTGGGGCTTCTGGACAGGCTGGGACTGGAGCAGGTACGACCGGAAGTACGGTGTTACGTGGCAACAGTACGGCAACATATAAGAGTATAAAAAATTTTGATTGATGATCTTGGAGCATCTTCATCTTGTGTTGTGTTGGCTATTGTTGCGTGTGGCCGCATGTCTGTACGGCGGCTGCATACTTCACCAATGCTGCTTTTAGTGTCTCAAGAGCTCTCCATCACCAGTACCACCAGCACATATACATATACATGCATCTACGTACATACATACATACGTACATACATACCCACATGTTTCCCGCCCCGCCGGATTTCCCTCCGCCCCAACCCCCCCACGCCGACCCGGCTGTCCTCCCCCTCCCCCCTCTCATAAGGCCTGTGTGGTGGCCCACTCGTACGGCACCTTTGTGGCTTCCCGCCTCGCCCAGCTGTACGCGCACCGCATGCAAAGCATGGCGCTGCTGGATCCCGTCTGCTTCGGGTAGGGGGGACCCCCGGGTAATTCGGGAAGAGAGGAAGTGCGTGTGTGTTTGGGGTGTTTCTCCATTGACCCGGGCCGCGAAGCGTAAGGGCAGGAGAAGTGTGCTGTGCGCAAAGCATGTAGTTTGGGTATGTGTACTTGTGTATTATGTGTGTATGTGTATGTATGTGTGTATGTGTATGTATGTGTGCATGTATGTGTATGACTTAGATTACACTGTGGGCCGCGAGAGCCGGGGGCCGAAGCCGAAACACAGCGCAAGGGTCGGGAGCACACAGCACAAGTCGGTTAGTCTTGTGTGCTCCCGACCCCGACTCAGTGTATGTATGTGTATGTGTATGTGTGTATGTGTGTGTATGTGCCTCCGCCTGCCTGTCAGCCTGCACGCCTGCAGTTATGTCTATGTATGTATGCATGTATATCTGTATGCTTATGTATGTCTGTATCTGTGTGTATGAAGGGTCGGGACCTGGGTATACAGTGACGGACGGAACCAAGGAGACGGTTTGAATAGTCACCGTGAACCCGATCACCGGATCCCGCCGGGTCACCCGATCGATTCTGACTGGGAACGGGGTACGCTAGGCTGAGTGGGGGTTAACAGATCCGGGTTCTGCTCCCGAATCCCCAATATCCCTGGACATGAAATCCCCCCTCCCGATTTTCCCACTCCCCATAAACACATATTCATACGTACATACGCACATATATACATATACACATACACGCAGTATGTTCATGCCCCACCTCCTGGCCAACTTCATCTACCGCGAGCCGCGAACCACCACCATCAACACGTGGTTCAAGGTATGACTTGGATTTCCATATTTTTAGGCAGGGTACGTGGTACGGCATGGTACGGCTTGCTCTGTAGGGCGAGTTTGTACGAGCAGAGAGAGCCGAGTACTTAAGGACCTGTGGTGACCTGTCCCTCGACCTTTTTGGGGCCACCACTTCACACCGCCTTTCCATCCGCCAAACCTTTCCCCTGTATATGGATTCTGTCTGACCGTCCCCCTGTTTTATGTAGTACATCACGAGTGTTGCAGTCTGGTCATCTGTAAGTTGCCTTTCCGTTGGCCGTTGGCCGTTGACAGTACAAAACCAGCCTTGCAAATATCGTCCTTGATGAATGTACGGCGCTGTACGGACGCTGTGCCACACGCACGCACACACGTGCAGGACGTGCTGTTCAATTTCGTGTCCCGGGACCTGCATTGCGCTGCGGCGCTGTGCCGCCGGTTCTATTGGTCGGATGTGAATCTCTGGCCCCAGGTGACGATATGTCTCGCAGGGTGCGGAAGGGTGGGGGGAGTAATGCCCTGCCCCGGGGAGGGGAGGAGAGTCTGTGTATTTATCTGTGTCTGTGTGTGTCTGTGTGTGTCTGTGTGTGTCTGTGTGTGTCTGTGTGTGTCTGTGTGTGTCTGTGTGTGTCTGTGTGTGTCTGTGTGTGTCTGTGTGTGTCTGTGTGTGTAAAGCTTTAATGGGGGGCTGAGGTTGCGCCTTGCACTCGGGAGGCGGAGAGGCGGGGTGAGGTCGGGGTGTTGCGGATCATTGATTAGGCGTAAGAGGGCCCTATTGCCACAGGTCCACAAGAGGTCCAAGGCAACTAACTAACCTAACTAACTAACTACAACTGCAGTTTATTAACATGAAGGAAAACTTGTCAAAAGAAGGAAACGATTGTGACGAAAGGATGCGTTAGGAGTACGATTTTTCACTTTAATTGGATTTGTACGGACGCAGGACATTCCTGGCCGTACACTGGTCGCTATCGCCGGCCACGATCAGCTCATCCACGTGGACGAGGTAGGCGGGGGGTACTGCACTATGTACGACAGCTGTACAGTACGGCTATTGGATGTCATTAGGCGGCTTCGTGTTGGAGCGCCTTGTGCGCTTTGCAGCCCCGAAAAGGAGATACGCCACCATCGCTGCAGCAGCTGCCGCTACTGCTATTGCTACTGCTACTAGTGCTGTAGCTGCTGCTGCTGCTCCTGTCACTACTGCTGTTCGTGCAGATGCCGTTGTCATGGACGCAACAATTCTCCGCGGTCCGAAGACTATCCGCCACCAACTAACTTTCCGGATCATCACCCTAAGCAACTCCCAACCAACCCCAGGAACCAACTGCATGCTGGCGCTCGCATTAACCCGTTTCTTTGTTGTCTGTCTGTCTGTCTGTCTGTCTATCTATTTGCCCAGGTGCTCGATCACATCCAGCACTACGCTGCCAAGATCTTGTACCACCCCAACCACACTCACGCGGAGTTGCTCATGGACCTCAACTGGCAGCAGCAGGTGCGAGTGACCCCCCTCCGTGAACCCCTCGGAAGGGGGAGAGAAAAAGGGAGGGTCGCGATTGAGGAGGGTATGTGGGTTAGGAAGGAGCTAGGAACAACGTGCCGTATACACCAACACCGTTGATGTCACTTGTTGGATCCAAGTACGACAAGAGACGAAAAAGTGGCCACTTGTTGCATCAACTGATTGCGAATATCCCCCCAACTCGGGCCGAGTTTCTCGTTTGTTAGGTTTTCCTTCGGGGAATACTTCGGCCGAAGGCTGCGTGTAAACCACAAACTTACGTGAGGTATGTAGTTAAGGTTGGCCAAAATTCAAAATGTTTTATAGTTCAAATTATTTTTTTCGTTTTGTTATTTCATGATAAAAAATATCGTGGACGTGAAGGTCCTGGCGGACATCGTTGCCATGGCAAGCAGCGGCGGCGGTATTGCCGGCGCGCGGGAGGTGCAGCGCCGTCTGACTACAATGCCCGCCGCGGCCCTGGCGGCGGAGGCAAGTACGGATGCTCCGCCGCCAATGTCACTGGGGGAGGCGTTGGCCACAACAGGACCCGGCGTCGTACGGCGCGTCACCACACACCGCCAGGTGAACATAGCGGCGCCGCCGCAGGTCGTGCAGACGCAGCAGGTGGCTTTACCGTACGGCGCCGCCGCGGCGGCAGCGACGGCAGTAGAAGAAGGAGGCAAGGAAGAAGGGCATGATGACGTGGCAGCGCTGGCAGCGGCGCTGAGTGAGCAAATCGGCCAGGCGCGGGAACGGCAACAACAGAACGGTACGGGGACGGCGATGGTGAACCCGCCGTCGCCGCCGCTGCTGATGCCGACGCCGTCAGACACTGCGCAAGGCGCATCAGCATCAGCAGTAGCAGCAGTAGAAGGGAGATCTGGGGCCGGCAGCCCGCCACCGCCGCCGCCGCATGCTGTCGTATCGCCAAACCTGGGTGCCGCCGGCGCCTCCACCAGTTCTAACGTTGCGTTGCCTCAGCCGTCGGCCCCCTCGTCCACCCCCACATCTTCATGGTCCGCGGCAGCTAACTCTGCGGCGCGGTCGTACGTTCCGCGGAGGTGTACCGCGGCGGCCAGGCTGCAACATGGCAGGTGGGGATGGGGAGTTCGACCGACTGGTGGCTCTGGCAGGGTGGGTTGAGTGGGTCCGTTAGTAGTGCGGGTTTGGTGCGTGAGTGGGTTATATAGGGGCCGGGGTAGGTCGGAACTCGTTGCTGCTTTTGCTCATGCTGTGGCGCTGACCTGCTCTATGCCTCATCACCCATTTATAATAAACGGCGTGTCTGGCAAAGCCAAATCCTTTCCTCCCTGGTGTTTTGGTCTTTGGGGGTCGTTCTCCGTCCGCTGCAAGAGGAACAGAGGCGCCGGAACTGTGTTTCTTAGGGTCCCGGGAGCCCAGTCGCTCAGACCACACGCATCCATGTGCCGTGCCGTGCTGTGCCGTGCCGAACCGTTTTACTCCTTTCTGGGGACCACTGTACGACATAATGTTGTACGATTTTGCCAGCGGCGGGCCGAGCCATGAGGAAGTGCTGCTCTTGGAGCTGGCGAGCGCTGGGCTCAACCGCGCCGTACTGATCGCGTCGCCAACGGCGGCGGCGGCGGTGCCGCCACCGCCGCTGCCGCCGTCGCTGCGAGGAGCTGTGACGGCAGCCGCCGGTGGCGGTGGCGGCGCCGCCGCCGCCAGCCTGTCTGGCTGTCTACGTCGCCTCCTCCCCGCGATCAGCGAGGTTCGTGAGGAGGCCTCCGGTCCGAGCTCACCAGTGCGACTGGTGCCGCCGGTGCCGTCGGCATTTGCGGCGGCGACCGCGGAGGTGCCGTCGTACTTCCCGACCCGCATGCCCCGCGGGGCAACGGTGATCCGCCCGCGCCGTACAATGACGAGCTAAAGTACGGGATGGTGATTCTGATGGTGCTGGTTGAAAAGGCGCCGTTGAGGCGCCACCTGGGGGGATGGGGGAATGGGGGGAAAGACGAGCCACGAGCGAGTGAAGCTGCTGCCAAGTGGGGAAAGAGTGCTGCGGCCGATGTACAGGACGGTAGCAGAACTGACCAGTCGGCGGTTGTGAAGAAGCAGTCCTCGGGATGATGTTGTGATGGCGACAGCGGAAAACTACCTACCTAGCCGCCAAGACTAAAATAAGAGTAGCGCCAAGCCGTAAAATAGTAAAGGTAGGTGTAAAGGCGGCGAAAGAGTAATAAAAACTGACGTTAGAAGAGAAAGGGAGGACGTGAGCTGGAATAAAGTTTGTCGCCAGCCTGGCGGCGGCATTGAAGAGGCTGGAGCAAAACTGGCTGATAAGCTGGTAAAGGGGATGGGGGGAGGGTAGAAGACATGAAACAAGCCTAACAACCTTTCCTGTTCTAAACTACAAGTAAGATGAGAATAAGGAGTACACGTTTCGTACTCAAGGTTTGCTAGCCCTTATCGAGCCCGTGTTGACTGCGATTATAAGAATACGGGGGAGAGTGGGATGGTTTTACCTTGTACGACAGCGGTACCGCAGACCGCTCGAACGAATGGGGGGTAAAACCGGGGGCGAACGTGCAGCAAAAACACGCCGTCCGTACATCCGTCCGGACGTCTCATAGCTCGTTTGTGATTCGAAGAATGCGGCCGTTATAAAGTGATGACGGTTGTAATGGCGGTTGAAGTGGCGGTTGTAGTGGATGTCTACGGAAATGGCGCTGGTGGCGATCCGGGTGAAGGTATGATGTCGGGTGTGTCCTTGTGCCTGTCACAGACCGTGAAGAGCAGCAGGAAAAGGACGGACGCTGGACCAGGAAAAGGATTGCATCTAGCGTGGAGAGAGAAATAGATCAAAAGCTTAGTTGTAGTCAGTCTGTATGTATCTGCTCGCCATATTGCCTGGTCTCGGAGCCGTAGTTAGTAACATCGTTACTGCTTGAGACTGAAGCAGCCGAAGCAACTGAAGTACGTAATGAAATGTTACGAAGGATTTTTTTTGGATCAGAATTCGTAGGTTGGTTAGTTAGTTAATTAGCCACCATATCATGAGCTGCTGAAAAAGTGATATAGACGTGATGACAGGGGAAAAGAGGGTGATGGAGGAAAGCGATCAGCGGGCGAGCTGAACAGCATGGCTTCACCGCAGGCGGAGGAGCTGTGCCAGTCGGGGGTGGCTGAAGGGGCAAGGGCGCGGGTGGTGTGTGTACGTGTGGTATCGTTTTGGAACTTTCGCCGGACTTTTGCCGTACAGCGTTTTGTCCATCCTTGTCCTGGCCCATAAATTGGTTCGCAGCGGGCATCTGTTGCTTAGGGCTGTCTTGGGCTGTCATAGATTCACCTCCCACGCGCGTGTAGCCTTTTCATCCTCCCCCCTCCTAGTTGTTATCGTTGTCGTTGCTCGCATGACACGCGTCGTAGTCGGTCTGTCCTGCTGGATTCTGCATCCTCCGTGTTTCTCCTCCTTCCCCCGGTGAGGCTGTTTTAAGCATGTTAAAGAGCTTCTTGCTGCAGTGTTTTTTTTGCATCTTGTGTAACGACTAACGAGTTTGCAAGCTCGCCTTCCCAACCTCATCATAAATGAAGTGCGCATCATATATCGTCCGCATTATTATTATCGAACTTCACCGGTCGTAATGTTCAACTAGGGGTTTGATCACATCGAATCCGAACTGCCTAACGTTTCGATTTTCACGCGGGCTCACGGTCGCAACCTCGGAGGTCAATAGTCCCGGGGGGGAGAACTGCTCCGCTGCGAAGACTGCGCCTGGCAGACGGTCTTACCGCGGAAGGAACACCACACGTACTTGTCGTACTGTATGAACATGTACTTCTGTCCCCGCCTGGCCCCTCGCGCTGGCCACCTTATCCAGATGATAGCCAGATGACCAGCACGAACAAAAAGAAACAAAGGAAGTATAGGATTTGCATTTTGATGCCGTACCGACCGTGCGCTGGATGGGTACTAGAAATACACGTAGTATAAATGTTTGCGTCATGAGCGGGCTAATGCGGCGGATGCCCTCCATCTTTCCCCCCGGACCTTACTGGGCGGCGGCCCGTTCATTTGGGTGTATGTTGTACGGCTGTTTTCTGTACGGAGGTCCTGCTTCCTCTGTCTGTGCCCGGCAACAGGAGGTCCTCTTTCTGGAGCACTTCGGGAAGTAACTCTTCCCCCCTGCGCGGGAGAAGCAGAGGGCGGTGGTGTATTGTGCAAAGCTAAAAGGCGGCTCCGCAGTCACTGGACGATTGTGCGGTGAAATAGGGGATTATATCTTCACCCCCTATGTATATAATATGTATGTATGTGTGTCGATCGCACTGTGGGCTTGAAGCCGGGGTCACAGGGCCAAAACACAGCGCGGGGGACAGACACACACGGCTGTTTAGTCTCGTGCATTCCGCCCCCCGGTCAGACCGCACGAGATATGACAGCTGGCACTAAGCAGCATTCCCCAACGGGGGGTAGCGCTACAGCTAAACGGGCTCTAGGTCCGCTGGTCACCTAACAAAGACGAAGTCGCACCCTGGGAGTTCTTCCTACGGACACAAAGTACAGGAAAACCTCAAAGAGCACGCGTTCAGGACCAGGGCGACTGGGAGCCCGACGAGTCATCCTGGGCTGGTGCGGTCACCAAGCTCCAAAAAGCCTCAAAGAAAGAGCGCAAAGAGCCCACACCACACCACAAAATGCCAAACAGCCTCCCGAGACCACTTCCAACCCCCTCCCTCCCTCCCTGGGCTAGCCCAGGGAAGGTATCAACCGCAGAGGGGGTATCACCGCACGTGTCCATGGCCCCCCTACATAGCATTGAGGCCAACTCGAAACGTGCACGAACAGGGAGATCCTGCCACGACACCCGGCGACCAGGCCTCCGGGAAAAACCGCAGTAGGGTTGTTGCTGCAGCTGCAGCAGCTGCTGTCCCCACCCCCGTGTTGGGCCCCTGCATTTGATCCTCGAGTGCCGGCATGTTCAGTGTCGGTCCCTCGTGTGGTCCGGCTCCGTTGGCCAGCAGTGGTGCTGGCCCCAGGGCTCCATCCCCCCAAGTGTGCAGGGGTGTGGGCCCCCTGTCCACGGTGGAGTTCACCACAGAGGGTGTTGTTGAATCTGGTGCTGTTGCTGGTCCCCTCTACGGTGGTGCTGCAGCTCTCCCCGCAGTTGTGGGCAGGGGGGAGGGTAAGCCCATGGTGGTGGGGGTCTCCACATCACCCCTCAGCTCAGCAGCACCGAGTATGGGTTGGGGTAATTCCAGGGGTCATTCCATCCCTAGCTTTGCTGTCCAAATGCAACTCCGTGCCATCTGTTCCTCCTCTGAGCCGTGTTGTATGTGTTCCTTGGGCTGGTCAGTTTGTGGCTATCAGGGGCTACAGCCAAGGCCGTTGTGGGCTCCTCCTGGGGCCCCGCTAGCATTGCTGCGTCTGGTGGGGCTGTGCTGAAGGTGCATCATCTACAACCAGCTCAATTTCCATCTCCTCGTCCGCCAGGTCCGATTCCGCCTGGGTCTGCTCCGCCTCCACTTCCATGTGTGTTTTCTCCAGCCCCGGGGCTGAGTGTGTGGGTGCAGCTGGGGTTATATTGGCAGCCAGGGCGTTGGGTTGGCTGCACGGTATGGTGTTGCCGCCCGTGTTTCCTGTGAGGCCTTCTGAGGGGCTGTGGGTGGGTTGGGTAGGGGTGTCGGTTTACCCCTTTTTCCCAGTGGCAGCATCCAGCTTGCATCCCGGGTTTGCTGTCACTGCTGTCACTGGAGGAGGGGCTTTGATTCTGCTGGGACCGGGCTGCCCGCCTGGGCCGCCTGGCATTGCTGCCCCAATCCCTGCGGGCTACTACTGCCCTGAGTAATGCCGTTTTGGTTGTCGGTGGTTCGGACCACGATGCTGCTTTCAGGTGTTTAGCGGTGTTAGCGCTGCAATTCACTCCCCTGCTGCTGCCATGCTCCCTTGGGTCCCACGGTGGCAGAGGAGGCGGTGGTGGGGGGAGCGTGGGTGGCGGCGGTGGGGTTGGGAAGTCCATCTCCGCTGCATCTGGTGTAGGGATCTCGGTTGCTGCTGCAGCCTGCATCCCTGATATTTGCGGCTCCACCGGCAGTCCCAGGTATCCAGGATGGATCGCAGGGTGTATCGGGCCGCTGAATGCTGTCAGGGGCGGCATTGGCGGTGGCCCTGTCATGTTGTGACTTGCCATAACGGGGGCGTTTCCCCCCAAGTGGGTCGGGGTGGATGCCGCTGTGGTGGTGAGCCCTCTCCGGGTTCTTGCGATGTCGGTCCATGTGCCTTTTAGTACCGCGCCAGCATTGCTTCGGCCAGGGCCTGCCCCGGTGATCTGCGCCGATTCTAGCTGAGTCCCCTTGTGTTCTGGCGGTAGGCATCCGATTACAGCGGGGGCTGTCTCCATCGCCAAGGGCAGCTTGGTCGCGACCAGGGTCCCAGTCCGCTGATTTCGCACATAAATCCAACTTAGAATTAAGGTGTTCTGCTACTCGTCCATAGCTCTGAGCGTAGATATCCGAAACGTCGGCCAAAGTGGGACCGTGTCGCTGGACCGAGCACGAATAGCCTCTCCTTCTGTAACGGCAGGACGCTAATCTCGAGAGGAGTAATTTATTCTGGTTTAACATTCTTCTTGGAATTTTGCGGCCTTGTGGCTGCGGCTGTCCTCCAACCAATTTGAGTCGTCAGTCGGTCAGCGGTCCTCACCGCTCTAGCTTGCGACATTTGTCATGTTGAACTTAATATGACATTTCAACGTTGTTATTAAAATAGCCACATTGATTTCGGGCCGTGGTAGCCGTAGTGGTCAGGGCTCTAGTCGCAGTTGGTGCGGCAAGGTTACGGCCATTTTCATACTACATCTGGATATTTGCATGTATCTGGCGACATGGATGTCCTTAACTTGGGCCAAGGATAACTTACTTGAGGTCTACCTGTTATCTGTTATGTCGGACTTGGGGTCGTGGTAACTACTTGCGAACTGCATTGTTGGACCTTGTTAAACACATTAGCAGTGAAGTGGGCACATGATGGCAGTATTGGTCGAGCGAGTTATATAAATTGATGCAAATGCTTTTGTAGCATACGTCGTTGTAAATCCTTGCACTTCGACACCTACATTGCCCCTGCAGCCCTTGGATTCAGCTATGCACAACCTGCACAGTCTACCTTGACTTGTATTGCAACCTACAACTTTACTAGCACCTTTGAGATGCTGTGTTTCCACTCTTGGGCATGGAACTTAATCGGTCGGCTTAACGCGCTCCAACGCTCCCATGCGCAACAAGAGGGTTATCATTTCAATTCATAAGAATCAGGTAAGCTGGATATCCTTGTTTCTGGAGCTCCTGATAAATAAGCTCGCCTTCATTTCTCTACTGTTTTCCGTACACAGCTGCAGCCTGGCTTGGATCTTTACATGAAACAATAGTTTCGTTTTATGTATATTCTTATAGCATGTAGCGAGAGCTCATATGTCATCGCCTTTAAATGCTTGAGCGATACTTGAAGCTAACTGCTGTTAGCACCACCCCTTCCGCTCTACTTCGGTCCCAACTTCGCATGGGCCCATCAGCCACTTAGGTGCGACTGCCATACATAACTATCTTTCATATAAATTTGGGAAGCAGGTCGCATGAAACTTTCAACTCATTACCGTGATATTATTGCTCCATTTCATCGTTTTCTTTCGTAGCTAGGCGTATGATAAACATCTGCACAGTTCTGCGTATTCATTTACTTAGGATATATTAACTACTACCATGTGCTTGTCCTGAAAGGTTCGGTAGGCATGGCTGCGCCAACAGCACTGGAAAATGGCCTTGGCCAAAGGCAATTAAATGGGGCAGAATATTAGCATGAATACGTACATATATAGCTGCTGCACGCTCGATAATAGCGAGTACCATCGTCACCTTCGACTCTCGGCTATTTTAGATGACTTTACCCTTCCACCTTCAGGCAGACTATCTGATCAAGCGTTTTACCGTTCATGCCAAAATCAGATGAAGGCAGCACGAAAAGCGCCGGTGTGGGGCCCCCAACTCTTCCGAGACGCCGGTCCGACGCCCGCAACTCGCCGATGCCAACCTCCACAAGGAACCTCCTCCACAGCATCATTTGACAACGAATCCCCGAACCTTTGTGAAGGCACCCATGGCTATATCAATCCCAACCCAGGGAAAGCAGCGTCGGGCGCAATCAGCTCATCAACTACAGCAACATCGGACCCACCAACCGCGGTCGCAGCCTCTGCCACAACCGCAGCAGCGACAGCGCCAACACCAAAAATGGAGTCATCGACTAAATTAGCTGCCGCGCAACCACCACAGATCTCCCTCCCGAACTCCATTTCCGCCGCCAGTCGCGGCATCGAGGACAGCAACTCGCGGACCTGGATCGAAGTGGCCACCGCGATGCGCGCGGCACATGCGGCCACCAGCGCCGCCAGCGACGCCGTATGCGCCGCTACGGCGGTGACGGAGGCGTCGCTGCTGCTGCCATACACGCGGTTCCGCTTATCATCGGAGGTCCCGAGCAGCGGCAGCGGCAGCAGTGGCAAGGGCTTGAAGGAAGTGGAGGTTGCTAATCGTGCCGTACAGGCTGCCTGGTCCAAGCTGGATAAAGCACGGGCCCTCTGCGAGAAGCTGCCGTCGGCGCCGGCGCTAGCGACGCTGCTGCTGGCGGCGGCGGGCCGTCGCCGCCGCCGCCGCCGCCACCACCATGGTAGCGAAGGGCCGGAGGGAGTTAATGGAAACGGACCCGGCGCTGACAGCACCGAGACAGTTGGCCTGGCGGTTGGGCACAACCAATCCGTTGGAGGTTATGAGGTGGGAGCGGTTGGCGGTCTGTTGAGATTATGGGGAGCCTGTCAGGAACCCGGCGGTGGTGACGGCGGCTGGTGTGACGGGTGCCTCAGGAGGAGCAGGCAGTAAGAGGGGCCCCGCTCCGCAGGATGTGTGCTGGTGCCGTACCTTGTCGTACCTTGCCGCGCTGCCCTGCGCAGTCCTCCTCCCAACGCGATGCCGTACTGTGTAAACCCTGCCGTGCTTTGTAATGGTGCTACTGGCCCCCCACCTTTTCGTTGTCCGTCAGTTGGTGCATTGGAATCAGCAGTTAGCGGCTAGTGGTTTCTTTATAATCAAATAGTTTCCCGCCCTTTTCCCGCCTTTTTCCTCCCCCCCTGAAGCACCCCGGCGAGCAGGTCCTTATGGCGAGGTGCCTCTTGCTGCTCCACGTCTACATGTCCAGCAATTGGTTTGCAGAGGATACAAAAGCCCTAGGAGGAAACACCGGCGGCACGTTTCCGACGGCTGAATTCCAGCGAAACGCTGCCGTACTAGCGGACGCATTGTTGCAGTACCATGGTGTGCCGTACCCGTTGCCGTACTATGAGCTCCTGAAAGTGGCGGGGGTCCTGTCCCGCATGCAGGTATGTGTTCAAAGGGGGAGGAAAGTTGAGCGTACGACAGGCATGTACGGCGCGCCGTGCAGGACGACATGCATGGGTGTTGTGCGTTATTGTGGTCGGTTTCTTATGGTTGGGTTTGTTGTTACCCGAAGAGAAAAAATTGGGGAGGACGTCCAAAGCTGTGTCTTTTTAAACTCCCCAAACATTGGCATCTCCCTTTCCCCCGCCCTTCTCACTCGCCCTCCCCCCCCGTCGTGTTTTAGTGGCCCTCCCCGGTTCGGTCCTTAACACCACAAACCCCCACAATGCCCCCAACTCCCAACTCCTCAGGAAGCTGTACTTAATAGTACGACACCATTGGGGTCGTACCCGGATTTGTACGCCGACGTACAGGCCGCGATCCGTCTTCTGAACCTCTCCCAGGCGATCAGCGACCAGGTGCTTATGCCGCGATTTATTGCGGCTGGCAGCGGCGGCGGCGCTGCCACCGCCGCCACCACCAGCGGCTTGCCGCCGGCTGCTGCTGCTGCTGCTGCATTGCATTCAACAGCGTTTCCTTTGGCCATGATTCAATGCAATGCACTGATATTGCGTACGGCAATTAGTCGTACAATAGATATGCATTTTGAGGTGCTACATCTGGTAGCGGCGGAGCTACAGCCGTTGCGACAGCAATGCATTGCGTTGCAAACCGCCGCCGCCGCCGCTGCGTCATTGTCGTCGTCGGCGGCGGCAGCGTCGACGGGCTCCATAGCTCCTGGTCGGTCTAGCAGCGGTAACTGCGCGGGTGACGTCGCCAGCTCCAGTGCGGCAGCAGCAGCTGCGGTGGCGGAGGCGCGTGAGCGGTTCATGGGCGCCTTTCGGGGGCGGTACGACACGCTGACGTCAGAGCTCGTGGAGGAGGAGGCAGCCGCGATACGGCAGCGCGGGTGGCAGTTGGAGCAGCGGCGCAAGCAGCGACAGCGGGAGATGCAGCGGCGGAAGGGCAAGACTACTCTTCTGGGGGAAACAGTGGCGACGGCGGCGGCGACGGCGGCGACGGTGCCGTTAGACGGTGCATGGGCCGACGATCAGCTCATTAGGGCCTTGATCCGTCACGCGGCGGCGAGACGGCTGTCGGAGGTGTTCCGCTCAGACCCGCCGCTGCCGCCGCTACCGTCGGCACTGCCGCCGCCGCCGTACACGTCGTTGCCGTCGGGTGAGTGTGCGCAGGTTGGCGGCGGCGGCGGCAGCACTTCCAAGGCCGCTGAATGCCTAGCGACAGCAGCAGTGGGCCACGGATCGGGAGCACAGCAGCCGCCACCTCCACCACCATCAGCGTGCAAGGATCACGCAAATGGTACGGCAGCAGGCCCGCTGCCGCCGCTGCCTCCGACTGACCCCCGTGTGCTTCGTACTGAGGTCGCTAATGGGCTGCTGGCTGCGTGTCTCTCAAAGGCGGGTTGGGTGGGTTCACATGCATCCGCCGTACACATGTATCCGCACACGGGCATTCGTACATACGCACAGCTCCACATTGTGTCCCCTCTCAAGTCCGCTTCTTTGGATGCGTTCCGGATCTGGATCTGGATCTAGCCTCACCTCTGTCTCTTCCTTCGGAACTCCCCTTCGGAACTCCCCCATCGCCGCAGTCGCAGCCAGTCCTTAGTGCACCCCAGTGCTCTTCACCCCTACCTACCACCACACTACCAACCACACGCACGAACGACCCCACCCCACCTTCCTCACCCCCTCAACCCCCCAACCCCCCAGCAGGCAACCAGCAGTCGCTGGCGACCTGTTAGTCCCGGCCAGGTGCAGCTGATGGTGGCCGCCACTGCCGCCGTTTCCCACCTCCTTGCCGCTCACCACCTCCTCCTCGAGACGCTCCGAATCCCACCGGCCGACGCCCGTACGGCATTTGGACGTAGCAGCAGACTTAGCAGTGCGGCTAAGTGGCGCTATGTGGCGCTGGTGCCGGAGGTGGCGAAGGTAAGGGGGAGGGAGGGTAAGGGGGAAGGGGAGAGGGCAGGTAAGGCAGGGCATGGCGTGCGTTTGTATGTATGATGTGTGGGACAGGGGGGCATATCTTCACCCGCGGCCGCTACCCGGCGAAACCCTGCCTTCCCCGGAATTTCGGGGCACCCTCATCTAGTCACCTTCTCAGTTGTTCGCTCAGGCTCTCCACCCCTCCCCCTCAACTCCTCTCCCTCCCCCTCTCCCTGGCTCTCCGTAACCACATTGCTGGTTCGTACTGCATGTACATTTCCCCCCACTTCCCCTCATCCACCCCACCTAAACCCACACTAAAGTTAAGGGGAGATGTACTCCCCCTCCTCCTCCACCCTTCTCGTACAGCGGCACGTCAGCAGTTAGTTGCTTTTCCCACCCGAATATTGTCAAATGATTCAATCTCTCCCCAAATCCCCCCAAAACCTCTACACCCAACGAAAGCCGTAACCCCGCCCTTATGAACGTGTGTGTATGTGTGTGTTTTTGCACAGGAGATTTCCCCCGGAGTTACTCCCCCGGGGTATTTTAACGCGGGGGGATGTACGGAACCTCTGTCGCTGTCTGTCGTACCACTCACAAGGAAACTGGAGAGGAGGCTGCGGCGCCAGGATCAACCCCAAAAAATCCAGCAAAACCAGGATCATCATCATCAAGAGGAGCAGCAGCAGCCGCAGCAGCAAAGGTGTGTTTTGGACGTGGGTGGGGAGAAGGAGGTGCGGGGGGGGGGGATGCAAATATACTTGCTCCATGTCGTGCAATTATAAACTAACTAATCCTGAACGAACGGACCCCTCACCCCCTCCACCCTCCACCCCGGGGAAAGAGATTTTTTTCTCAACCCTACCCGTACGGTGGGCCGCGTGTCGGTCAGGTCGTACACATTTTTACCAAATTCCGTACTACAAGTTAAGTGTCGTACATTTCCTGGAGCATTGGATGGTGGACTTACGGACGGACGGACGTGCCATGCCCTGTGTGTTTTGGTGTTTGACCTCCTTTCCAACTTCCGTACGACGGAATCGATCAGTAGTACGAGTACGAGCTGTACTGGAATACGAGCTGTACTGGAATGCAGCTATTTATCGATGCGCTGTTCACGTTACATGACGGCTTTGGTGATGGCTGTCTGGTGATGACGGTCTTGTTGTGTTTGTTGTTGTTGTTGTTGTTGTTGTTGGTGGTGGTGGTATTACTGTTCTGCTACCGCTGCACCCGACTAGGGATTATTCGTACATCTTGTGGAACTCAAGAGCCGGCGCCGCCGCTGCCGCCGCTGGTGTCGCCGCTGCCGTGGCGGCGGCGGCGGCGGCGCGGCCTCCTCCACCGCCGCCAACAGCTACTGCTGCCGTGGCGGCGGCGGCGGCGGCGCGGCCTCCTCCACCGCCGCCAACAGCTACTGCTGCTGTGGCGGCGACGGAGGCGGTGGTGGATGCGGATCCGCTGCACGAGGTGGAGTCCTCGGATGCTAAGGCTGAGCAGACGCCGACACGACTTCAAAATCAACACCCCGATCAACCCCATCAACAACAACAACAAAATCAACAGCAACAGCAGCAGCAGCAACAGCCAGATGGAGCTCAGCGCGGCAGTAGCCCGGTGTTCACAGCCACGGGCCTCGACGCCGTCGGGGCCCCGCCGCCGGCGGCCGGCATGCCGTACACCTCCGAGTACCTCAGCAGCAGCAATGCCGTGTACGGCGACACCGGGGGTTGGCGGCCGGTGGACGCCGCGCAGCTGTGGGTGGAGCAGAATCTGGGTCGCACGGAGGGACTGTGTTTTGCTTGCGAGAGCCGAGATGCGCTGGCGGAGGCAGTCGTGGGTGTCGCGCGGGTACGTGGCGGCGGCGGCGGCGGCGGCGGCGGCACCCCCCTTCCTCCACCAAAGAGCCCCCTTTTGTGTTTGAGGAAGCGTTTTAGAAATATGTTTTGTGAGCGGCGTTGCGATATGAGGGGCATATGGAATGTGCTTTCCAAAACATCCCGCAGTCATTAGTCATACGTCTCCGTGGGCCTTTGTGAGGTGTTCGCGTTCGAATCCGATCACGGGCATTAGGTATTAAGACCATTTCTCCCAACTAACATTCACCAGAGCATCATCAATACATCACATAAACATACATGTCCAGAATACGCTCCGGAAAACAAACGGGCCGATCACCCTCCTTGCAAATGCACCCCTCACACACCACGTACATACATACATAGGCACAAGCGGCGGCGCGGCGACGGGGATGCTCGTTGCTGTTGACGGCGAGACTCGCTCAGGATCACCACCGGGCGCTGCTAAAAACACTGGGGGAGGGGCTCGTGAAGAGCTACTTACAAATCACGCGGATTCCGAACTTCGCCACCGTCGGCGGCGCCGCCCCTGGAGTAAGTGCGCGCAGTAGCGGCGGCGACGATGGTGGCGACGCCGCCGCCATTAAAAAGGCCACTAGAAACGGCGATCCAGATGACGCCCATCGCCACGACGACGATGACGACGACGACGATCAGGAGGCAAATTCCCCGCGCTGTAGCAGCAGCAGTGACGGCAGTAGCAGCTGCAGCAGCCTGAATGATGATCGTGGTGATGATGGGGAGGGAATGGAGGGGGAGGAAGACGGCGCCAAGGCTCCAGGGGCGGGTCATGGATTGGACGTGAAAGACAGGAAGGAACGAAATCGCCGCCGCCGCCGCCGCCAGCGCGGCAGCAGCGGCGGCGGCGGCAGCACGAGTTGTGTACTGGGTACGGAGGAAGTCCTGGTGACGAGCTCTGAGGGCTGGCGGCTCCTGCGGCGTACGATGATAAACAGGGCGTTATGCAGGCTGCTGGCGCTGGATCCAGCGCAAGCGAAGCTGTTGTTCGAGACGGAAGCAATGGGGCAGTCTGTACGGGACGCCGGCAGCAGCGGGGATGGGGCGGTCATCGAGGGCCGCCTTGACGAGAGCCGCCAGTTGGAATTGGAGTATGAGCTGGAGCGGGAGTGCCTTAAGTGGGGCGTGCTGCGCCTCTCTGCGGAAACTCGTATCGTGTTGCATGTGATGGCGGTCCCCTCGGAGGAGCTTGAGGGGGCCTTGGGCAGGAGGGAGGGAGAGGAGGGGGGGGAGAAGTAACTGCCGTAACGGCTCTGATCCAGAGACGCGAGGGGGTGAGGAGGAGGTGGGAGATGTTGATCATAATCAACATCCAGCTTGACAGGAGGACGCGGCGGGATGTTTAGGTTATTAGGTGCTAAAGGGGGATGATGTCCTCTGTATATACAAAGGTATGGCTTGCAGGAGCACAGGCCGGCTGTTAGACCGTAAGCAGTCGGCATTGATATGGAACCGGAGAGTGCGGCTGAGAGACAGAATCGAGATTGCCAGCTGGAAGAGAGCCGGGCAAACGCTGGCAGTAGCAGTGAGATTGATTTCTTGCGTAAGAAGTCCGAGTAGCCAGGCAGGCAGTTAGGTTGGCAGGTTAGCAACTAGCAGCCTACTCGTCATGTTGACCTCATCTTAACCCGCAATTAAATCCCCGCTTTATTTCTTTCATCAGTTGTGCCGCCCCCGCCCCGGATAAACTCCGCACCTGTGAGTGTGTGTCAGTACGTAATGTATGACCCATTGCGTTGAGGAGAGGGACATGAATAAGGCACGCAGTTGTGGTTTGTGGGGTGGCGCCCAAAGCCCCAGCCAGCTGCCCACCAGAGGTGCGTATCCATTTGATGGGGGGAGAGGCGTCTTTTTAGGGTTTGGGTGTGGGCATTCAATGGCGGGGGGGTGCAGCTGACTGAGGAGGGGAAGTACCGGGGGGGGGGGTCGTGGTGGTGTCCGCACGCAAAAGCACTGCGCATGCAAGTGCAGGCTGCGCATGGAAAGGCGGACGGCGACCTACTCGGAAATGTACATACGGTATTGCACGTGTACGACATGTATGTATCGCACAGCGCGGTACTGCACAAACAACGAAATGGTACAAAAAATTCTTCCGTATTCTGCATTTTTTGATATATTTGTTGCTTTCCACTGTACGTGTGCGTTTAAACGAGAACTGTAATGCAGAGCTGTGTGCATTGATGCATAGTCGTGCTTGCCAGTGTATGCTTTGACACAGTTGTAGTTTTACTAACACAGTATATAGTGGGTAATAGTATGTGCCGGACGATGAAGAGAAGGGTACGAATTGGGCCATTCTGAGAGGCCTGCTACGCTTGCAGCTGCGGTGCTGTGGAGGACCCAATACTCACTCGGCAGTTTTTCCGCGCGCCCAATTCTGTACAGAGCCTAGTCTGTCTGCTTTTGCTAATATGGCTGCGAAAAACTGATCTACGCTTGCTGCCATGATAAAGACGTCGTACAATCTTTTAACCATGTGCAATTCAATTGGTGTCGTGACGGGCAAAGAAGGTCGGGGGTGAAATAACCAGACATCTCGGGGGACTTGAGACAGGGCTGTGTCGGTGCACCGACAGTTCAATGTCCAAGCAGCAAAACCATACACGCAAAGTTCAACAACACGTCGCCACTTTGCAGAAGCAGTTTGTGCGGGAGTCACCATTGTGTGCGTCATTCCGTAAACGGGGAATGAAGGCGCAGCCACAACCTCGCAGGTAGAGCAGCCTCGATTGTTTGCCGCCTTTCTTTGCTTGCAACAAATGTGCTGTTCTCTGTCCTCCATGCATCCTATCCTTGTAAGGATAACCGCTACCGGGGAAAATCGCGGCCACCTCCATGTCCCTCAACACCCTCAACCCACATTGAAACAAACGCTTATCACGCTTAGAACACTACCAGTGCTGGAACGCGCGATGCGCCGCTGCGCATGCTTAATAGAATCTGTTCACTCCGCACATATGTGCGATGCCCAGCGGTAAGGTAAAAGCTAGGTCAGGAGTTCACATCCGAACCTGATGCTCGACGCATTGAACGTCTACTGCTACCATCCCAGACCCCGAATTGTGCAAGGAAGAGGTGGCCCTCGGTGGCCGCATCATGAAACACCGCGTGTTCTGCGTGTCACGGCCGTGTGTTTCTGCCCCAGGCGGTCACAAGACCCACGAAAGGCCTCTCGCATGCGGCGACCGAGTCCTCAATGCTTATCTGCATGGCAGCCGGCCCCGTCGCAGTTCGTGAGCAACCCGACGAGGGAAGTTGCGTAACCAGAGCAGCACGAAGGAATGGTGCAACGCAATGAAAAAACGTTGCAAGGCACTGTCACCCTGATGTCGCTAGGAAGGATCAAAAGCAGGTGACGGAAACTTCCGGACCCTCATGCTACAGAGACCCGTGGCCCTACTGCTGCCATAGTCGGTCTGACCACTATGGGCTGAGCCATACTGCTCGCAGCGCCAACCCTGCCGTGCAACCGATCGTCGCTGCCTCGCGAGCCAGACCTGCCATGAAACCGAGCCGAGGCCATCCTGCACCGCTCACATTCAGTTTGCCTCACTCTGGATCTGCTCCCGAAGCACCGCTACGACCGACTTGAACGCGAACCTGTAGAAAGAAGGGGTAAAGTTTAGCAACGTGAACGAGCGCAAGGTGGCGACCTGTGTGGGCTTATGGACTCAGCTCAGCGGCACTCTCAGACTTTGCAACGACCCACTTTGGTGTCAAGTCCCTTATCGCGCTTTTACAAGCCCCACCACGATTTCCCTGTCTCATTGACAAACCATCCCCTCCAATCCCCAGATCGACCACCCACGACCCCGACGGTAAGCTCCATTTGTTTACTACAGCACAAACAGTTCTTGCTCCCCCGTCCGGAAATCAATCTCGCTCCTCACCACTCGGGAATGTCCTCGCCCGCACGCAGCATCTGGCGGAACTTGGTGCCCGACAGGTTTAGCACATGCAGGTTCTCCGCCTTGGCCACGTCCGCCGTCACATAGCCCTTCTCCTCCGTATATGCAATGTTCAGCGACGGCACAGTCTGCATGTTCAGCTCGCCAGCGTGCTTGTTGGCCATCTCCTGAGCATCGTATGCGCCATAGAAGTCCTTGCCGGAGATGGATGACTTGCAGCCCGCCATATCACGTCCAATGATGAAGTGTGTGCAGCCATAGTTCTTGCGAATGATCATGTGCTGGATAGCCTCGCGCGGACCGGCCATGTGCATACTGTAGGGCAGGTACGCCCAGCGCAGGCGCGGATTGGCAGTCTCCTCCTTCAGGACCTCATAGGTACGGAAACGAACAACACCAGGGATGTCGTCGTCCTGGGTCGGGCCGCAAGTTGGGTGCACCAGGCAGACGGCGCCCTCACGGACGTTGGGGGCGTCCAGGGCACGAATGAAGAGCTCATAATGAGCCTTGTGAATCGGGTTGCGGCACTGAAAGGCCAAAACATCCTGGTTGGCTGGCAGGGTGGCGCGGACCTCGCTCGGGGTGGCGCATGGGAAGACGCGGGTAGGGAGCGCGAGGCCCTTGATGGGGCCGCCCAGGTAGTACTTGCCGCGCTCCATGGCAACCATCTGCACGGCGGGATGCTCTAATGAGGAGGTGCCGTAGCACTTAAGGCACTCCAGCGGCTTGTTCGGGGTGTATTTGGAGGTCACGTTCATGACCGCCAGATCTTGGCCCTGGTAAGAGAGCAACACGGTGTCGCCCGGGACAATGTCCTCGCTGTTGGTGTCCAGCACGATGGGCAGGCCAAACAGCAGCCCGTTGGTCAGGCGCATGTCGTTGACAACCGACTCGTACTCTTCCTTGGGAAGGAAGCCCTCCAGAGGAGAGAACGCGCCCACGCAAAGCAACTCCACGTCACACGCGTTGCGGTCGCTGAGCTCGAAGCGCTTATTGCAGCTCGCAACAAGAGCAGCACGCTGCTCAACAGGCGCCATCAGGTTAACCAGCTTAGCTTCAGGACCGTGTGGAACCTGTCAGCGAAGACCCAAATGCACCAAAACAACAGGCCAACAGACCATGTTGAAACCGGACCAGCGGGCATCAGATTGCGCAATTGGCATTTAAATTGCCGCGTATGTTTTCACACACTTCACATATGTTTGCATCTGTTCAACTAACCGCAGCACCTGAAGGCCTTCTGCTGTTGTCCTGAACGCCTGAGCAGCAGTCGCCATAGCACAAATAGTGCTCCTCTTGCTCGAGCGGGTAGCACGACGGGCTGAAATAAGGGTAGCGGCCGCGGCAGCAGGCACAGACGCCCTCATGATGGGGCGAGCGGCGGCCACAGGAACCATCACCACAGGCGCTGGGCGCGACGCCACGCGAACCTGGACCTGCTTGCTGGTAATCGCGGCCATTTTTGCACCTCGGCAGTCGAAGGAGGAAAATTCAGCTCTGCGAAACCGACAAGTAAGCAAAGGATTTTATCATGAAGTACGACAGCTCCTCCTCGGAATCCAGATAGTTTAACTCTCAGGGAACTGACTGGTCATCACACTTGCTGTCATGTTACGTACAGCTTCTGTTTCACGTAGGCCTAGCGCCCTGGTTAGGGTAAGCATTAACTTGCTCGTTGCGTGCAGTGCGTTCCACATGTAGTTGATCATAATCTTAAAGATATCACTTCATCAACCACTTCATTACAGGCATCAGGCGCACCTACGCCCCTGCGGCCGCACAGGCGCACGAAGGTGGGTAAGCTTAACCCTTCTCGATCAACACCTTCGTTACCTGCAAACCCTGTGGACACTTTAGCCGATCTAATCCCGGATCCAATCATAAGGGCTGCTGTCAAGGTGAGGTTGGTGGGTGGTGTCCCGGCGGGACGATGGACAGCTCGTTCGTCAAACGCACACCTACTAGCTTATGTGCCGGTTACCTTGATCTTTATTGGCGAAAAGCAGGAGCCTGTGTCCTTCTGGGGCGGCGTACTTGCGGGTTTCGTCGGTCTAAGCTTGGACCAAGACCCGCTGCGTACGTGGGTCGAGCGCGCGTCTGCTCAAGCACGGGTAAGTTTGCTGGCTCTCGCGCATCCCGTCAAACTCGGCCCAGAGATTTTTGACGCCTAGTTTAGGCCTAAACATCCCGCTTTTACGTTGATGCCTCCTCCGTCGGCTTCTTTTTTGGCTTTTTCTCTCGGCACAGGCTGCCACCGGACAGAGCAAGGAGCCGCTGCCACCCAACTAGCGACATTGAGCTAGAATGTCGTGGATATTGGATTTGGAAAGAGCAGCAGTGAAGCAAGCGAGGGAGATGAATCCTTGTTGATCTATGGTTGCAGTACCCTTCCAGCGGTTGTCGGTTGCTTCCTAACAGTTCGGAGTTCGACACGTGGAGCTATCTGTCAGGAAACGGGGACCTGGGAGGAGTTGCTGGTCTGGGGCAGGCTCCGAGGGAAGGGCGCAGGGCATCCTCGCCATGCGCATGGCACGTAGTGCAACATGTAAATCTATCCGCAGTGCGCACACGGCAGCACTCCCGTGGCGCAGCTGCTAATCGGGGCGCACTGTCCTTATGTTCGGCCTCCGTGGTTGTGACTGTCGCCTGCTCGCGAAGGCCAGCGCCTGCTCGCGAAGGCCAGCGCAGGGCGGGTTGGCTGCAAGGGTTCAGAGCTCGGATCTTGACGGATTGGTTGGGACACGCCAACAGGGTCGCGGTACTTACCAGCCAAATGCGGGCGTTGCTCCTCCCCTCTGGGCTCCCAACCGGAGTTTGCGAGAGTCCTTGGGTAATTGAGGGCTGCCAAGATGGCCGCACTTGGTAGGGGCTTTGCTCGGGTGGAAATGGCGAATGAATAGGCCCGGGGCTGTAACACCAGTGCAGGCACAAGCAGGGTGCTGGAAGGTTCCTCCCTACAGGGTCCTTTCGTGGGGCAGCAAATCTGACACCGCAAGGGTGTCTAACCACAGCAGCGAAGGGCGGACTACGTGAGCTAGTTTACACAAGGCTGGGAAGAAGAACGATGGCATGCACGGGTGTTGTCGTCGTCATGAGCACCATCTAGGCGTGTCAAGTACTTTGTCTATGTCTAGTATAAGCTCATAGCCTCGTCAATTCTGACTTCAAGCTCAACGGTCTTGCCAAACATGTCTTGCTGTGACTCATGTGTGGGTGGCGGCGGAGGAGCTGCTGCTGCTGCCACCGGTTGACGTGCGCTCCACACTGCCGTAAGTCCGGAACTCCCTGGTATGTACCGTAACAAACGGGCAGACCCAAAACTGGGGCTGTATGTGCTGTGGCGGGCAGGTGTTGCCGTTTGGAGGAGTGTCACGAGACGCTCACTGATGTAGTCTAGGACGGGGAAAGCAATATCCCCCCTGGAGCGGATGGCACGACAGGTCGGGAGCCAGTTTGCGCTGTTTGGTGTTGACCTGTTCGGTAAGAGGTACAGTGCGGGGTGGGGCTTATGCACCGATAATCCTTCTGGATTCGTCGTAGATAACAGGAAACATTCATGGCTGGCCCTTCAGGCCTCCTTCAGGGCCCCATCATAAAATCGTTTTAGTAGGGTGACCCACAGTCCACCACACCACGCTGCGTCTGAAGATTACGGGCACCGCCAAACGCAGCCAGCGGGCTCTCCGAACCCTTTGGTCTGCGACATAACTCCGGTCCCATGCCCCACTGGCCCTTAAATAATCCGCCCACCCGTACACCTACCCATCAGCTCAGCAGTTGTCTCTTTGAAACTGCATGTGGGTTCACCCACTCACAGGAGCATCCTTACGCCGCATCCTTACGCTTTCCGTGTTCGCGGCTGGGGGCTGGAGGTGTCCTGCTTCTTTAAGGAAAAGAGCCACCCGGCCATACGCGCTGCCGTAGAACTTTCACTGCACAGCATGTATGCCCTTCCGCCTCTCTCGCAGCGACATGATGCACACCGTGGGAGAATTCCCGTGCAATTTACATCGCCACGTGCGCCAGATGGTCCCAGACACATACAGGGCCGCAAGGTCGCTGGCGCCCCTCAGCTTTACATACTCTTCTACAACCTGGCCACGGTGTTATGCATGCCAGCAATGATTATAAATGCACGAGCGGGGGCACCTTCTCTCCTGCACGTAGTCCTACAAAATGCGAACGAAAGTTGCGAACGTCAAATACTATTGTCTACGGCTCCGAAGTCGACGTAGCTTCCAACGATGCTCGCGTCCGTCCACCACCTCCGCCACTGCTCCGACCCCGCGAACCGGCCCCGGCCGCAACAACGGCTTTTGAACCCGCCCCACCACCGCGCCCCAAGCCTCGTAGCCCCCCATCGTATAATGGGCGCAAATCCTCCGAAACCGCATGCTGCACCTCAAACTCCTCCAGCATCGCACGAGTGTCCTCCAAGGCGCGCCGCAACGGCAACACCAGGACCATCCGGTTAGATAGCTCCAGAACCAAGTTCTCCGGGTCGTACGGCGGGCCTTTACCACCACCGTCGTCGTTATGGTTCGCATCCGATTCATCCTTGTCGTATGCGGTGATCGCGGAGACTACGGCAGGGTCCGACAACTCGGAGACCAACCTGCCGCCTTCGCTGTCTTCGTCATTCGCGTTAGTGGCTACCTCTGTTGGCGCCGCTGCCGAAGTTTGCAGGGCCGCGGCGCCGCCGTGGCGTCTGCCGTTGATGCGGCGGGCTCCGCCACCGCCACCCGTGGCCGCCGCAACCATAGCATCCGCTAGCAGTGTCACCAGGTGCCGCATGTTTACGACGTGGGTGCCGTTGCAGCGGACTACTCTCTGGTACATGACGGCTCGTCGCTCGTAGCCGTCAGTGGCGCTGCCCGGCCCCATGTCCTGGCATTCCGCCACCACCACCACCTGTGATGGCAGCAACGACCGGTGGTGTGACGTGATGACGACAGTGGCCGCAGGTGCAGGTGATAACGTGACCAGCTAAGCTAACCAACCAACCAACCTTATAAAACTCATATATATATATATATATATATAATATCTTATATATATGCACACACTGCTTCGCTGGACTACTTCCTTGGGTACAGAGTTCCTTGCGGGCACCGTCTTCACCAGTCCCTGCCCGCGGCTCAGTTTACTGAAATACACAGTAAACTGTGGCGGCTGTATCATTGGCTGTGAGGGAAATGTTATTTGCCACCCAGCCACGCCTCTGCAAACCATCACCGGCACTCCGGCCGTCAACCATCATCACAGGACAGCCCACCACTCCCACCACTCCCACCAGTCCCACCTGCTCATCCGCCCTGGAAGGGTGGTTGTGCCACTCCCGCAGCAGCTGTGCGGGAGCTCGTACCGCCCAGCTACGACCGAATGCGCCCTCCAGAAACGGCGCCGACAGCACCGTCAGCACCAGCCCCGAAACCACCGCGTACTGCGGTGGCCGGCCCGCCAGGTGCAGCGGCAGCAGGCGGTGCGGTACCCCCAGGGTTATGGATGCGGTGACCAGCTGGCCCCCCCGAATGATAGTCAGATCCACATCATCCCCTACCTGCATTGCTTCCGGTTGCCGCCACCATTGCCCCCAGCCCGAGCACAAGCACAAGAGGGGTAATGGCGAGGAAAATGGAAAGGGAGGAGGTGCTTGTGTGGTCGCCTGTATTCTGGAAAGCATGTGATCAGCTTATGACGGGGTGTAATAAACGGTGTAAACAAACTCTTTTAGTAAAACCGTGTGAGTTCCCGTACGTCACGACTGACGGACGGTTATATTTAACGCATGCATGCATGATTGGAACGGGACCGTGCCCAACCCGTGGGCCCGATCCGCCCTTCCGTCAATTCATGCCCTCCACCGATGTCCCAGCGCTCATTCCCCCCCTCATCCCTGCCTCCCTCCCTCCCCTCCTATTCTTTACAGTTGTCTCTTTTCGAGAGGTTTCCATGTGCACGACGTAACTCCCGCCCGCCCTCTCAACGCAACGCACCCTGAACTGGCTGACGTGGTAGGAGATGTGGATGCTGTCCGCACCGTTCCGGAACTCCACCGTGCCGTCATTGCCCACCGCCGCACCCCCCACGGCTGCCAGCACGTCCAGGGGCTGGGCGAGGGCGGCCAGGGCTGCCGTGGGGTTGAGGGATGTGATGACCACACCTGTCAGCGGGGGTGTGCAGGATGGGGGGGAGGGAGGGAGGGAGGGAGGGGGGTGTTACGTCAGAAGTCCACGACACTATACGCAATGGCAAGAATACCAGTGCAGTGGCGGTGTTGGTGGCGGTGTTGGTGGTCTTGGTGGGAAGGGTGAAATTGAGGTTGGGAGATTGGAAACCTTGGATTGGATAAAGAAGGCGTTGTGCAACAGTGTGTGTGCGTTTGACAGGTGTGTGTATGTGTGTGTGTGTCTGTCTCGTGCATCGGGTATGGGAGCGGGTCATCAAACCACCCGCAGCTGCGTATGCCCCGCCTTCCCCTCAGACGATGGGGTTCGCTAGGGAATGGGGTGGGTGTTCTATATTAAGGTGGTTGAAGGGGAAGCGGAAGGAGAGGGGTGATGGGGCCTTGCAGGCAGCGGACGTGTCGAAGGCACCTGACCCCCATCGCTCCATGAATACATCATCACCATCAACATCACTATCAACACCATCATCACCACTATGAACACCATCATCACCATCACCACCATCAACACCATCAACACCACCATCACCACCACTATCAACACCACCATCAACACCACTATCAACACCATCATCACCATCAACACCATCAGCACCACCATCAACACCATCATCATCATCACCATCAACACCATCATCACCACCGTCATCACCATCAACACCACGGTCACCACCACTATCATCACCATCATCACCACATAGTCCCCAGTCCCCTCTCTCGCCCCCGGGAGGGCCCCGCCTCACCCCCCCACCTGTCTGCTCAGCTGACATGCCCGTGAAGCGCCTCAGCGCAGCCGACTCGGTTCGCTTCCACTGAATACCCAGAGTGGGAAAGCCCTGGTAGCTGCGGAGCGGGACGGGGGGGGGACGGGACGGGAGGTACGGGGAAAGACGAGGAACCACAGACGAGTGAAGCTGATACCAGAACGTGGGTGGAAGACCCGCGATCGGGTGGAAGACCCGCGATCGGGTGGAAGACCCGCGATCGGGTGGAAGACCCGCGATCGGGTGGAAGACCCGCGATCGGGTGGAAGACCCGCGATCGGGTGGAAGACCCGCGATCGGGTGGAAGACCCGCGATCGGGTGGAAGACCCGCGATCGGGTGGAAGACCCGCGATCGGGTGGAAGACCCGCGATCGGGTGGAAGACCCGCGATCGGGTGGAAGACCCGCGATCGGGTGGAAGACCCGCGATCGGGTGGAAGACCCGCGATCGGGTGGAAGACCCGCGATCGGGTGGAAGACCCGCGATCGGGTGGAAGACGCAAAATTGATGTCGCGACGGGTGGGACTCGGGGTTGGGCGGGTGTCCTCGAGGGTGACCGGGCACATGCTGAATCATGCAACCGCCAGCACGTGCAGGAGCTAATGGTATGATGGTGATTTCTTCCCCTCCTTTCATTCCAAAGAAACCCCCCACGCCTCAACCTAACAAAGCGGGAGCTCCCTTTCCCCCAAGCCCACACCCCCAATGACAGAATTCAACCCTTTTCCTCCAAACCCGCTCTGCGCACTCGCTTCGCCGTGCCTTTCCTTTCCCCCCCCCCCTTCCCCCCTTCCCCCCCAGCCGGCACCCCATCACCTGCCATGCCGCTGAATATCTTCCAGAAAGCGCGCCACGACGGCCGCCGGGACCGCCGTCGCAGACGCCTCCGTTTGACCTCGTCGGCTCGCCCGCCGCCCCACCCGCCGCCGCCCATGGCCCCAGCGCTCGCCGCCTCCGCCTCTGCCGCCTCCGTCGCCGCTGCCACGGGCATTCTTGTTAGCGCCGCTACTGCTTGCCGTACGCGCAAACACAAGGCCCAGGAGGATGCCCCTGGAGTCCACCACCGCCGAACCAATTTGTTCCTTACTGAGGCCAACTGCCACCGTCATGCCAAGGAGGCGTTGCATCGCGGAGGGGTACCTACGAGGAGTGTGTTAAGGGGGGGGGAGGGGAGGGGGGGAGTGTGTGTTTTATGGTGAGGGGGATTTAGGGTTTTATCTGAGTTAAGCTGTACGACAGCCGCCCGTCAGGGGTTTTTGTGTGACTTGTTAGGCGTGTTGAAGTGTGACGTGGATGTGATACGCAGATGGATACATGTGGTGTGTGCGGATGTGCTGCCGCAGAGGAGCATTGCGGGAGAGGATTCTTGTTGGTGTTGATGTTGGTGTTGATGTGGCGGCGGTGATGGTGGTGGTAGTGGTGGTAGTGGTGGTGGTGGACACGCACCCTCATCAGCACCTACGTGACAACCTCAGTCCGCATGACGGTCGCAGGCGCCGACCGCGGCCTCGGTTGGCCATCCTCGTACGACACTACAGCCACCTGCTGCTGCAGGTGCGGCAGGCCGTACGATGCCAGGTTGTACGGCACCACTGCCTCCCAAAACTCCGGAGAATTCACTCCTAGCACCGCCAGCTCGCACTCCAAGCCGAGGTGCAGCAGGCGGGCGGTGAAGGGCTTGTCGCGACCCGGGAGGAGGATCCTAATCTGGCCATAATAGCAAAAACGGCCATATATTGTCAACGTAGGGAAAAGATGTCAATGAAGGGCGGGTGTGGCCATACGTCGGTGGTGAGGGAAGGAACGAAACCCGCAGAATGGCGGCTGCGGGAGGTGGTGGTTGTGGTGGGGTGATCAGATGCTATGTGTACGACGCACAGACAAGAGAGTGGTTGAGGATATAACAGGATTAACATCAAAGAGGAGCAGGGGCATGTGTTAGAGATTGTCCCGGGCTGCAGTCTCTTAGCTTTATTGTTTAAATTTAATTTCAAATGGTAAATGGTAATGGCGGAGGACGGCGGTTTGGATACAACGGCTGAAGCGGGACGGAGAGGTGGAAAGATCAGGCAGGAAAGAAGGCCCTTTTTTAGGTGTACGGCAGCAGCAGTACTACCAGCAGAAGAAGAAGCAGTAGCAGCATCCTTAGCCCTAGGCCTAAAAGCTGGAACATCCCTTCCTGTTCTGCTCGCCCATCAACCTGATTCCATGTAACCCCTAACCCGACTCACACCCACAGACCCATCCACCGACCCGCACATTCAGGTTCTTTAAAAGCACCACACCACACCACACGCACACACACACAACACAACACAACACAACACAACACAACACACACAGACAACACACCCACAGCTTCATTCGGTAAACAGTTACTCGTCTGCCGTACCCCCCCCCTCCGGTTCCTGCCCGCAGCTAAGTTCATTCAAAAACCCCAACACGGAACGCAACGCACGGAGCGCAGCCATGTAAACCCTAGCTTCACCCAAGTTTCCCCCTCCCCCACGGCCGCTCAACCTGGGAGCCGTACACCACGCTGGCCGCCGGCGCCAAAATGTACGACTCCTCGCCGTACGACACCGCTATCGCATTGCAAGTCGAGGACCTGTCGTAAAACCGCCGCCGTCGACGACGACGACGCGGGGCGGCGGGGGAAGAGCGCGTGAGGGGGCCTTCAGGAAGGGGTCCTAGGAGTCAGTCCAGAGAATCACGACTTTAGGAAGAATCGCACAAAAGAAAACACACACGTGCTATAGTTTCATAAATCGCTCAGTATACGTTTGTCGTTCAGTATATCATTCAGTGTATGGTTTGTCCTTTTGCCGGAAATGTGGTTTTACAAAGACGCCGACAGGCGGATAAATGCTCTGGATCTCGGATCCAAGGGACCTTAGGGGATCTGGATCTCAAGGAGATCTCCCCCGCTCATTCGATTCGTGGACAGTCGAGCATTCGGTGGACAGTCAAACGACCCGATTTCGATGTGAGACATGGGATATAGCACCAACAGAAATTCAGACATACATACCCGCCGAGGTGCAACAAGTATCCTCCCGGTGAACCCAGCACTGCTGCATCAACAGTGTTGAGGAATTGCACCAAAGCTGCCACGGCCCAATGGCCCAATGACCCTCACCTTGCAGGCGGCCACCCCCGCCGCCCCCCGGCCCCCCCCCCCCGCCCCTCCCCCCGCCCCCCCACCTGACTGCCGAGAAGTAGCGGCAGATCGAACCGCGGCAGGTCCTGAACGCACTGCACCGAAACACCCCAGGGAGCAACTCCCCCTCCTCCCCCTCCTCAGACTGAGAGGCGCCCTCGTCCACGTCGTCGTAGTCGCCCCCAGCAGCATCTTCACTGACGGCAGACTGCAGCGGTAGCAGCAGCAGCAGCAGCAGTAGCAGAGGAAGGAAGCAGCCGCAACACTTGCACACCAGCAGCGACGAGCCATCCCCCCATCCCCCCATCCCGAGAAGAACATTCAGTATCCAAAGACAATCCTTTGCCGTCCAACCCCCATATACATACACACACACACACTAAACCACTCTCGCTCCCAAACCAACACGATGGCATGGTCAGTCGGCGCACGCACCCCAATTGGGTCAATCGCTCTTGACCACCAGCAAACTGTTAAACTCTCCGAACACACTTCACTTCCATCACTTCCACCACGGGGGGAAGAATAAGGCTGGCCAGCAGGATGGCCAAGGTGCGGGGCCGGGGGGGGGTTGTTCCCTGACCCTGACGTCTCCATCCCCCCACCCTACCCCCGTCCACAAACGTCCGCAAACTCTTAGTTCAGGCTCAGGGGGTGCACAGGACGATGAGTTGCGAGGTGGCCCTTACCTCCGCTCCTAGAACCTGCAGCAGTAGCGGTGGCGGACGACGGACCGGCGGCCCGACGGTACGGCAACTCCAGCTGCCTCTGGAGCCTCCGCGGCCACCAGGCCTCGTGGCCGCCACTCCAAAAGCGGAGCCAGCGGCAGTGCTTGCTACGGCCGAACCGTCGTGCTTGCTGCTGGATCTGCTACTGCACGTGCTATTGTTGCTGCTACTGCTGCTGCTGCTACCGGTCCGGGTTTTCAAGCTCCAGCCACCGCAGTTCGGGGCATTGGGGCGGCAGCTGGAGCCGGAGTGTTGCTGCTGCTGGCGGGAGGTGAACGATTTGACCCAGGCAGGCGCGAGCGATGGTGGGTTCAGCCCTGGTGCCGGAGCCGGGTGGGGCTGCAGTGCTGGCAGCACTGCAATGACACGGGAAGGGTGGGGGCGGCTAGGAAAGATGCCTGCAGTGCGGTGGCGGGGACTGATTGATGAAGTGCCGGAAGTGTTGGATGAGGCAGGTGGCAGGTGGCACAATGGCCTTTGGGGGAAGAAGCGCGGGAGATGGAGGAGAGAGATTGAAGGCAAGGGGTTCACACGTGTATGTGTATGTGTATGTGCGTGTGCGTGCGTGTTTCCTGAGACGAGATACCGGAGGAGCCCTGGCTGCTGGCGGAGGATAGGAGGTTGAGGGAGCAGTAGCGGAGTGTGGGCCACGGGGTGACCTATCGCAAAAACACTCTCAACCGCATATCTATCCCTGCAGACACCGACCCAAACGACCCGAAAAGCTCACACAAGACACCCATGATAATGGCTACGTACTCCCAAACTGTTTTGTGTGTTTTTGTGAACTTTTTGGGTCGATTCGTGGTGTCTGAAGGGATAGTCATGCGGTTGAGAGTGTATTTGCGTTAGGTGGGGGCCCGGCACAGATGTCGGGGGTTTGGCAGGTAATTGTGGCAGTGTTGAACTCCTTCACAGTCTGTGCACGAGCCTTGCACCTGTCGCTTGCTGTCGACTTACCATGGGCCAGCCCAGCCATATCAGTATCAGGGCGATTGATTCTGAGCCAGCCGAGCTTTACCAGGAGAGTTCGAGATGGCGGCGCTTTGGATAATCATGTGGAAAACAAATCCATTCCGGCTTGCATTAATTCAAGCATGCGTGCGCTCCAAGCAAAGCTGCAGGAAAGGCACCAAGACACTTATGCAATTACAGTAGGCATATCGTAAGGACGTAATTAAATGTTATTGTCATCAGAAATGTAATGGGAAAGGCACGGCACCCATGAACGCCCACCGGTCGCCATTGGTCATTTGTTGCTCTCTTCGTAATTACAAACGGTTGGAATGAGTGCAAAGCGCGTGTTGCCGAGTCCACACATGTTTCACTTTTTACTCCTCATTTGCTAGATCACCAGGCAGCTTGCCCTGCCTGTTAGGTCTGCAATTGGCTAGTAACTAAACTTGCACCACCCGTCATAACTCGCTATTAAACTTAGTTTATTGTATTGCATCGATCATGTCTTAGTGAACCTGCGCTTTGAGCGCGGGTCGGGTGGTGAGACATTTAAGGCACAATGTCAACAGCCGGAGGGGTAAAGGGGCTCAGCAAGACGCTCGGTGGGGTGGCATCAAAAAGTTATAATGTGGTATGTCAGATGTGGGCTGATCAGCGCAGCTGGTGGGGCCCCGATAACGAGCACAGTTACGCTTACCCGCTGACTGTTGCAGGCTGCAATCTGGGAGAAAACAGCCGCTCTAAGCGAAAGCCAACTGCGCACAGTTGAGGCCCTAGGCCAGCTCTGCACGCAAAGGCCCCTGCCCTCACACGTAAGTTGATCGTTTCCGCCAGCTGCTGCAGCTAGCCTCGGCGAGGGGGAGCGATAACGTCAGGGAAGCAAAAAGACTTGGCTCATGTGAAATCATCCTGGGACTCTCCAGCTGTCGCAGCGCTAACCTGGCAGTTGTGCTCATTCCTTCTCGTCCAGTTCCGCTCGCAAGCTTCTCCCCCTCTCGTTTTCATGCCTTACACACCGCACTACGGGATCCGATACATGTGTAGGTCATAGATGAGCAGCGCTCTACAGCTGAAACGCCGGAGAGCCACAGCAAAGACGCCTATGTTGGTACGTTAGAGGACGCTGTGCTCCATAACACCAGCCAATTCCACAAATGGCACTCGGAGCTTGAGGCAGCGTGCGCATCGGAGACGGAGGAGAAGTACAAGCGCTATGCGGACCTGCTTAGCAGCCACGTGGCCTCCTGCGAGCACATCCTCGGCAAGGTGCGCTGCCCGGGTGATGCTCTGAAATTGCAGCGAGAACAGGAGATAAAGGGGTCCGCAAAGGAATAGAAAAGGATCCCACAAGGTCGTTTGGAATGTGCCTTTTCCTGGGTATGTGCGTATTACATGCATATACCCAAGAGCAGCTACCAAGGTAGGGAAAGGTAAATGTTGCGGGGGCAGGATTTGAAGGGGGGATGCGGGCAGGGGGAAGGCATGTTCTGGCCCCGGGGGCAGATGGGCAGGGGGTGGAACTGGGGTGTACGGCTTGGTGCTGGAAAGGATGGGAGGGGGGTACTGGAGAAGACGCGGGTATCTCTCCTTTTGGTCCCCATGGGCGCGAGGGCGAGTGCGCCCAATTGTTGATTGGGGCCTTCTTGGGAGCTTCCTTCCCGGGATTGTAACGGGCATTTGCATCATTGCTTTGGACTCTCCAACCGTTGGTGCCGTTTGGACGTGTCGGCAGCCGATTTACCCCTTTGCTTCTCCCCCTTGCATCATCATCATCATCACTATCATCATCATCATCAGCAGCAGCAGCAGCACCATCATCATCGGCATCACCGGAGCATCACCAGCAGCATCGCCATCACCATCATCACCACCACCATCATCACCACCACCATCAGCACCATCATCATCATCACTATCATTATCATCACTATCATTATCATCACCATCATCATCATCATCACCATCATCACCATCATCACCATCACCATCGCCATCATCAGAATCGCCATCACCACCAGCATCACCAGCATCGTATAACTCCTCTCCCCGCCCCTCCCCACACCCTCCCTGCAGGTGGACGCCACGCTGGAGGCCTTTGAGGTCCTGCAGGTCCAGCACCGCGAAGTGGTGTCCCGCTCCCGCTCCCTGCACGCGTCCTGCGAGCAGCTGGTGCGCCAGAAGGAGGCGCTCATGGAGCTGGCGGAGGCCATCCGGGCCAAGCTGCGCTTCTTCGACGAGTTCGAGCACGTCTATGCGCAGTTCGCCGCGGCGCAGATGTCCCTGGATGCCGACCAGTTCATGGCGCTGCTGCGGAAGCTGGACGACTGCATGGCGTATGTAGCAAACAATCCGCAGTACGCGGATGCGCAGCAGTACAGTGCGAAGTTCAGACAGCTGCAGGTGCAGTGGGGGAAAGAAAGGGGAGAGAGAAGCGGGGGCGGTGTGTGTGAGGGGGGGTAAGGGAAGGGTGTCCACTGGCCGGTGTCCAGTTCAGCACCCGTCCAGTGGAAACACAGGTTGGGGGAAAGGAGGGAGGGGAGGGCTTTGACGACGGGGCTAGGAAAGGAAAACCGCGGACGGCGACATGGCCCAATTTGTTAGACGCAAATAGCTTAACGCCCAGGTGGGGTGATGGGCCGGAAGAGATGGAGGTGGAGGAGGGGGGCTCGGGCTGCGATTTTTTTCGTGGCCAAGCCGGACCTACGGAGGCAGGCACGAGAGAGCTCGAGGTGCATGAGGGGTGTAATAAAGGGAGGACGGGGCGGGACAGGTTTAAGGAGCCACAAGGACTGCGCAACCAGGAGGGAGATGTGCAAGTGAGGCAAGAATGAACCCAGAAATGAGCTGCCGACGTCTAAGGGAAGTCGGACGTCAAGGGCCTCGGTCCAAAGCATTGCCTGCCTTTCGTCCGCATCAGCATCTTTCGACAACCTCCCAAACAACCCCACACTCTCATCCCCCTCATCCCCCTCATCACTCCATTCACAGGGCCGCGCGCTGACGGCCGTACGCGGCAAGGTACAGCAGGTGCTACGTGCGGCAGTACAGCACGTGCAAACCGCCGTACAGCAAGCGGCCACAGCAGCGGCAGGAGCGGGAGCGGGAGGGGCGGCGGCAGCTGGGGGGCCCCCGGGGTCATCATCAGCCAACGGCACGCACGGCAATGGCAGCAGCGCCGCCAACGGTAGCTCGTTGGTCAGCCAGGGCTCCAACGGCCAGGTGGTGCCGCTGCTGGCGGAGGGCGCTGAGGTGCCCATGCTGTATGTGCGATTCCGAGCTGCCGCGGAGCCCAACTTGAAGGGTGGGGGTGGGGGGTCGCAGTGAGTGGCGCTGTGGCTGAGAAGTGGGGTGGGTGCTAGGGTGGGGGTTGATGTGGGGTAGGTGCGGTGGGGGCTCGTCACGGGGCCCAGCGGCAGCGGCAGCGGCGCATGGCATGTGATGTGATAGCCGCAGGGCGCGCTTCCCATTGAGATCTTCCCTCGTGCTTTTTCTGCCGCATTCCAATACGTGTTGGGCTGAATGTAGGGACGCAGTTGCTGTTTTGAGAGACGTTTCTGCACTACCCTCCCGTCCCCTCCCCTCCTCTTTGAACGACTCAAATCGCCGGCTGTTGTTTGCTTTCCCCCTCCTCGTGACTGGCAGGCATCATATCATATCATATATCCCCACCACCCCCACCCCCACATGGTGAATACCCCGTTCTGGGTGGTGGTAAACCTGTAACGTATCCGTCAATCTACCTCTGGTATCTGCTTCAATCGTCAGTGGTTCATCTTACCCCCTTCCGCCGGTGTACCCCCCCCCCTGGATATCACCCCAATACCACCTGGGCCACCAACCAGGTCTCCTGCGGGAGGTGGAGTCCCGAGCTGGTCGACCGGAGTACATGCGGCTGCTGGCGGAGTGCCACAACTTGTACGCACAGGCGCGACTGGCGCTCATAGGGCCCTATGTACGACAACGCATTATGCAGTACGCTGCCCTGGCGCTGCCGCTGTTCACCCGCAACGGCTGCGAGCACCTGGGTCGGGTGGGTCAGGGTGGGTCTGGGGCTCTTGGGTGGGGTCGGGTCGGGTGGGGTGGGTCAACAACTTCACCCCCCACCTGGTTCGTCTTTCCCCCACCTCAACCCAACCCCAACCCCTAATACCCCTTTCCCCTCCCCAAGTCGTCATTGCAGTGTCGTGCTTCCATTTCCTGCGTCTGAAAATCGCCCCCGTGCAATTCCCCCCGTATCTTCCTCCGACAGGTGTGTCAATTGGAGGTGCAGCTGTTTGAGCACTTCTTTCCCGCTCAGCAGCAGGCGCAGGTGGGTAGGGCGCAGGGTGGGGCCGCAGAGGAGAAGGGTGCGGCCGCTGTGTGTGTGTTGGCTGGGTGGTTGGTGAGGGAGGGCTGGCTGGCGGGTCCCGGGACGTGGTGGTGTGGGGGGACGCGGTGCAGTGCGGCAGGTGGGGCAGAGGGAAGGGGGGGGAAAGGGAAGGAGGCCGGGGTGGCCGGGATGAAGGCAAGCGTCTCCGCGGGTCGCAGCCATCCGTCCTGGCCATGTTGATTGATCGCGCGATGGATTGTTTGGTCATCTGTGTGTATGTATGTATGTATGTATGTATGTGTGTGGGGGGGCGGGGGGTGTTGTTGATTAACCTTAGCTGCGATACGAGGACAGCCGAAGTGGGTGCACGAATGTGATGCATGTATATATGTATGTGAGTATGTGTGCGCACACCGCAATCGAAAGGAGTGAGTACGTGTATGACGACGGGAGCGAGCGACCGGGGGATTTAAACGGGCTGAAGGTCCCTGGTAGACAAGCCGCCCCCTGAGTGCAACAACATTCTATTCCACTAAGCTAGGGACCTTCGATTGTCGTCGCTACGAATGCATAAAGCGGGGGAGTTGCGGGAATTGAACCCACGACCTCTCGCACCCTAAGCGAGAATCATACCACTAGACCAAACTCCCAAACATGCGCGCAAGGTGATTAGCACATTATCATAGAGCTCCAAACACCAGCTACCGACTTGCCGTACACATTCCCCTTCTTGCATGCAGGACGCGCAGTCGCACACGAAGGGCGCCGCCGCGCTGGCGGCGGCGACGGCGAAGTCCGGCGTCGCGGCCGGGGTTGCAGGGCCGGGTGCAGCGCCGCCGCCGCCGCCGCCGGTGCTTCCCTCCTCCGCTGACGCGTTGTCGCCCCTCCTTGAGCCCCTCGCCACCATGTTGTACGACCAGCTCCGTCCGGCGGTTGTGAATATGCAGGACTTGGACGAGCTGTGTGAGCTTGTGGATATTTTGAAACACGAGGTACGGGCCGGGCCGGGTACTGAGTAGGCGCCGGATGCTGCGTATAGTGGAATGCGGCTGGCACAGCAGTAGTGGTCGTGGTCGTGTGGTAGGTACACCAGATATCGAATATATCAGATATTTGACACTACCTGTGTAATAAGCTCCTTTCCTTGGTAGCAGCGGGGAGGTGGGCTCCTTTTGGCTGTATGATGTGCAACGCGATATGTGGGTGGGGCCCCCGGGGTGGGGGAAGAGCGGATGTGCTGTGTTGTGGGGAAAGCAGAGCTTCAGAGTCAAGAGTAAGAGGAACACGGACGTCGCGTTTTGTCGTGTGATGTTATGTGGAAGGAAAGAAAAGTACGGGCTCTGCCTTCCCGACCGTTACATTATCATACATATTTCGTTACTGCCCGGGGGCACCATGTCAGATCTATTTCTGGCGTTCAGACTGTGGGCGTTTTCCAAATGTTGTACGTTATGCAAAATGGCTCTCAGAAACCATTCCCGCACTCTAATTTGTTACGACTAACAGTCGCATCCTAAAAATTTGCGGAAGAATTAGGATGTGAATAATCGCCGTGAATATCGAAAGATGCATTCCTACGGTCCACCACTGTGCACCACTCATCGCGCGCTACTCTGCCGCCCCGCTCCAGTCCGCAACGCGTTGGCCAACCACATACACACACCAGGGCTGTTGTTGCGGAGCCTTTGCCCCCCTTACCTTTCTCCCTCCCACCCCCGGATGTCTTGTCTTGTAAACGAACCCACTCGGTCAGGTCCTGGGGGAGCAGTTGGCGCGTCGTGGAGTGGGCGGTGAGGCGCTCAAGCCCCTCCTATCCCGCAGCCTGGCGGACGTGCAAGGGCGCCTCATCTTCCGAGTGCAGGCCTACATCCGGGACGAGATCTCCGGCTACGTCCTCACCCAGGAAGATACGGACTACCCGGCAAAGCTGGAGCGACAAGCGGCGGCGGCGGCGAACGGCGCACTGCCGCTGCCTGCCTCCACGTCAGCCTCGGCGGATGGTGGCAACGTGGCCGAGGACAACGGCAGCGGCAGCGGTGGCTCCGCCGCCGCGCCCGCTGTCGTCGACCCGTACGCGACGCTGTTCCCGCCGTTGCGTGCGACGCTGCTGGTGCTATCGAAGCTGTACCGCGCCGTCGACTCCAAGATCTTTGGCGGCCTGGCACAAGAGGCCGTGTCGGCATGTACGGTAGCGGTGCAGCAGGCCAGTCGTGCCGTGGCCCGCCGGGCTGTGCCGCCAGCGCCATCGGCCGGCGGAGCCGCCGCCGCCGCTGCCGCAACCTCGTCTGCAACGACGCCAATGGATGCGCAACTATTCATGATTCGCAATTTGTTATTTCTCCGGGAGCAGATTGTTCCTTTTGATGTGGACTTTGCGGTGACGGACATTGATCTTGACTTCTCCCACATGCGGGACCACCTGAGGTGGGTAGGGGGGAGGAGAGGAGGGAGAGAGAGGCGCCGCCGTTGACGCCACAATCAGGGTCAGAATTAGAATCAGGATCAGGACATAAATGTCGGTAGTGTAGTGCTGTGGTTGTAATGCAAATTGTCAATGAGTTGAAAGGTGCATGAACGCTGGTATGGCGGGTCACTGTTTACCCATGGGTCACTGTGGGAGCCATTGGGTCATATTTGTCAGCCAGGCAATAAGGCAGTCCATCAGACAGGCGAATGTATTTGTCGTGGATACAGGTATGTATGCATGTATGTATGTATGTATATATGTATGTATGTATGTGCCCACACCCGTACAGGCGCATCATGTTGGGTCAGGAGAGCTTGTTCACCCTGGGCTCCAGCAACGCAATGGTCCGCATGTTGGGTCCCTCGGGCCCCCGGGTGCTCACGTATCAACTGGACTCCAAGAAGGAGCTGGAGAAGGCGCTCAAGGTGTGTGTGTATGTATGTATGTATGTATGTATGTATGTATGTATGTATGTATGTATGTATGTATGTATGTATGTATGTATGTATGTATGTATGTATGTATGTATGTATGTATGTATGTATGTATGTATGTATGACGTTGATTACACTGTGGGCTGAAAAGCCGGGGGCCCAGGGCCGAAGCACAGCGCGGGGGGCGGGTGCATACGGCTGGTTAGTCTCATGCACTCCGCCCCCGGGTCAGGCCGCACGGGAAACGACGGCCGGCACGCAACAGCGCTTGTTTGGCGCTCCAACTAGACGGGATCTATGCCCGTTGGTCTCCTAACATAAACGAAGTCGCAACTGGGGGGCTCTTCCTGCCGACCGAACGAACCGAGCATCTCAGAGAGCTCGCTACCAGGACTTGGGCGACCGGGAGCCCGACGAGTCTTCCCGGGCTGGGGAGGTCACCAAGCTCAAAAATCCTCACGCAAAAAAGAGCGCAAAGAGCTCACACCACAAGACGCCAAACAGCCTCCTGAGACTACTACCCTCCTCCGCCTCTCCCTCCCTGGGCTAGTCCAGGGGAGATAGCCCCCGTCGAGGGGGAAC